ACAGTTGTACAGGTAGAAGTTCTTCTGTCAATTAGCCAAAAAAAAACCCCAAATATACTGAGTTTACTTTAGTACATAAGCGTCAACTTTTAATCAAAAATTTATACAAGAATATTTCTAGGTTCTAGAGTTAAACAGCAAAAGGTATGGTAAACCAACTCCTGCCACTGATCACAAGAATATAGTACTAAACGTGATTTTATAACCAGAGAGGAGAAGGGGTAAATCTATACCAAAAGGAAGCTCAACCAGAGAAGTGGGTTTCCCACGTACTCCATATTGTTTGCAGCGCTCATTCAAATTTTTAATCAGTCCCTCAAGGCCTGATTGGATGTGTTCAGTGCGCTCCTACAAGACAATCTTCAGCAAAACAACTATGAATCACATTCAATCAACCAGCTAGCACGTGTGCCTTACCTTAACAACAGCATCATCAAGTTTGCCCTCTTCAAATTTGACTATTGCCTGGTACAATTCCATTTTCTTTTCCTGCAATATTAAGGAAGGTTTATCATTATTTTTGAAGGAGACATCCAACTTGCAGACAATTAAAGTAAGCCATGCTCCTAGGATAATACTTCTCAACTACCTGTATGTCACGGAATGTGGCCTCTTCAATTGTCAATTTAGAGCCTACATTGCCAGACTGCTTGTATTTCTCCTCGTATTTTTTTGCTAGAGATTCAAGCTGGAATACATGTTGATTTGTAAGATAAACAAAGTTGATATCTAATACCATCATAAAAGAGGCTAGGCTACAGTATATGTATACCTCACGTTTATCACCCGAGACTCTCTCCGTGATTTCGTTGTATCGGTTGTCACATCTGCTTTTGTATAAAACCTAGAACCACGGAACCAAAGGGAAAAGGTTAGAGAAACAAACTGATTGTTAGTATGTAGGAGGAACCAGAAGACAATTACATCCCTAGAACCTGTAAGATTATTTCCAAAAATGCCAGATCCAACACACACATATATACAATCATAATTCGAGCAAGCTGAAGAAGCAGAGATACTTACAAGTTCTTGCATCTTAGAACGGAAGAAATCAATTTTCTGCTTAGAATCAGCTATTTCTTTTTCGAGTTCATCCACCTAAACACCACAACACAAGATTAACAAAAATGAAAGGCGGTCATAGAAGTTTTTAAGTTACGCAAGTAAATATTATGAATAACTGATCAATCATGGCAAAGGTACAGAGTATATGTGATAGAGAAGGGAAACTCAAACCAGGATTAGAAACAAATAAATTATTCATAGTTCTCAATAGGGGAATAAGGATATCTTCAGATAGAAAAATTCCAAAAAAAAGCTCACGATAACCAACGGAATTCACCACATTAACAAATTAAAATAAGAGAGAAACCAGAGAGTGCCTTTTTATCAACAGCAGTTGCTTCTTCAAACTTCGAGTTGAGCGAATCCTGCTCCTCTTTGCTTAGTTGATTCACCAGCTGTTTTTCCAACTCAGGCATTTTACGTTTTGGCTGAGTAGGCTCGACCATTCCATCACTAGAAGATAAAGGAACTGGCCTCGGAGGCTTTCCTTTGGGACCAGCTGGTGGCCTCAAGGCCCCAGGATGTTGTTGCTGTTGGAAACCTACAATATTGGTACATAAATGAATTAGCCCAGTTTAGAAAGAAAAAAAAGGCAAGTAATACAGTATGTGCAATCAAATACCATGTGGATGTCCCCAGGATGCATTGCCATGCGGTGCCATAGATTGACCAGGAGAGGTAAACATGCTCTCACTATGTATTATAGAGCTTGGGAACACTGGCGGAAGAGGTCGGCCCTCTCTGTAACGCTCCATAAGATAGACCGCAATACAGAACTCCCGCAAGGAGAGCATGCTGTCATTATCTTGATCAGATAAATCCCATACCTGCCTCAAAGCCTCTGTAACACCAGGACCAGCATGAGCACATCAAACATTCCTCAAAATTCCCCATGGAGAAGTCAATAAATTGTGCTAGAGGAACATATAATCTCTATCAACATATAATTTAGTCTACACGAGGACCATAAGATGAAATACTCAAGATGAACCAGAAACAGCGGTAAATCAATATCCAAACATATATTCAGAAGTGCCACTAAATTATAATCCCCAGTTCACCATTGTATCAAGCTCAAATTGAAACTAAACCACTGTGAGCGGAGAACGCAACGAAAAAGTAAGTGTAGCCTACCTCTTGGAAGCCTCCAACTTAAGAACAGATTTCGAGCCTGGTTCCCTGTGACCTTTCCGTCCTTATCAGTGTCAACTTGCACAAAAACCTTGGTATATTTCTGGACATCTGCTGGAGTCATTTTCGGCCAAGGGGGTTGGGAATGGACCTGGGGAGGTGGTTGTTGTTGGGGGTGAGGCTGGGGTGGACGCTGGGTAAATTGACTGGAAGCTGAAATTCCAACTCCAACAGTAGAGCCAGGTGGACCAGAAGCCACCGCACCTGAGGGAGCATATGGTTGCCCTGATTTTCCAGTAAGCTGATTCTGAACACCAACAGCATGCTGGCTCAATGAACCCTGTTGTGAGATTGAACTTTGTCTAGCTACAGACTGTGTGATTTCAGGGGCTTTGACAGTTCCAGCAGGAACAGATGAGATCCCCATTGTTAATTCAGTTCCCGTAGTATGTTGTTTTGGCTGCGTGGAAGTAACTGAAAAGACATCTCCGAAAAGTGAGTCAGAGGCAAACCCATTTCCTGATGCAGCCAGTTCCTTGGGATCCTTGGCCACCAATTTATTGGATGGAAAATCTGACACAACAGCACCAGAAGTAGAAGATGATTCGTGTGGCTTGTGCACAGGCGGTGATTCTTGGGGTCTGGCTGTTGTAGAGCTTATTATTGCAGGTGTCATAGTTGGTTTTGGCATCTGGTTGGCAGTAGAATTAGGTGCTGTCAAACCATATGTACTCTGACTTGGAGGAATTTGAGAATTTACGTTCCCGGACGGGGCAACATTTCTACCACTGAGCCAATCAGATGGCATAGGTTGATTTGCAGGACGAGGTGCATTAGTCCCTCCAGGTGGCATTCCCTGGCTTTGAAAGTTTTGCGGTGGCTGGTATGGAGGCTGCCCAGTAAACTGGTTTGCCTGGCCTGGGACTACCTGTTGGTTACTGGCGGCTATAGTTCCACCCATTTGAGGCCCTCTCATACTAGCCGCTACTGATGGGATTGATGTAACTCCCTGAGCTTGTGTAGCGGGTACTACTCCCCTGGGCTGTGGTGAGGGTGTTGCAGCAAGATTTATTTTGGGAGCAGGGATATTGGCTGCAGCAGGACTATAAATTGCAGCTTTTACTATCTCAGGAGTCAACTCTCGTCTACTTTGTGCCACTGTTACCAACTTTAAAGCATTATAAAACTCTGCTCGGCCAAGGTAGCCAGCTTTTTTTGAATCTGCATAGGACCATACCTACAAGAGATTAAAACAAGGTCAGCATTATCAATCCAACTAATAATTGTATAATAGGCACTCAGAAAAAGCTTATATCCGAATTAATCTGGAGATGTTATCTACAGACCAAAAACGCATGTTAAAATTCAAATATGCAGAATATCCTCATTACATGCAATATTCTTGGCCCATGCACGGTAGAGACAAGTAGAAACATGTAGATTACTCCCCTATTTTTCATTCAAATTTCACTATCCAATTGAAAGAAAAAGAAAACATAAACTAATCATATCTGCATAAATACAATGCCTGATCTGAGTGCAGCTCAATTCGTATCCCCAGATGTGCCAACTGATAATAGTACAGTGACTAGAACATTATTTTAGCGTTCTAAGCTCAGAATATGACAAGATCGAAGAGGAGATTCTCCATTCGAATCACATCAACTAGAGTACAAGCTCCAGACTGAAAAGAGAGGTCCTATTCACCATCCGGCAAAGAACAAATTTGACAAAATACGTCACATTCACTACCAAATATCCCACAGATCAAAGATCCAATTCAAAACATATAGGAATTAAAAGTATTCTCCACCGTTTCTCAATAATACAAACAAAAATGCAACCGAAAGAAGGAGATAGATGCAGATTTCGAGGAAGAACCTGAGCAAGGACGTGTTTAGGCAAATTCGAGCCTTGGAAGAAAGCGACAGCTTCAGCTCCACTGATATGACCATCTCCATCCAAATCTGCCCTCCTGAAATACGTATCGAACAGATCCTGGCCTCCCGTCGGCCTTGGCGCTGCCATTTCTAAGGATGATCCGAAATCTAGCAGCAAAGACAGTGTCCAGAAGTTTTCCGAACACGATCCGAATCACCGCATACGAAGATGCGTAAGAAAAACCCTAAATCATAAGGCTGCCAAATGGGAGCGCAAATCGTAGATCAGTAGGAGAGAGAGACCACAACGTCGATTTCAGGATTGAAATGGGATCGGCAAAGAGAGCGACGACGGCGACGAGAAGAGTAGTATAACAGAGGTCGATGATGATTCTCCGACAGAGAAACAATTTCAATTCCCGGGATTTGAGATTGAAACCGGTACAGCTAGCGATGGAAGAAGAGACGATTTTTGGGAAAGTTAAAAAAAAAAAAAAAAAAAATGTTTATTCAATACAATACAAATCGTATAAGAACCTCGAGATGCATATAATAATAATACGGACACAGGACAGTATCATCTAAAATAAATAAATAATTTTCCTACAACTTTTTTTTTTTCTGTCTTGATATTAATAATCAAATTGTTAATTTGGTTACGAAACTTCCAACAGTTATAAGGAATTAGAAATCAATTATATGAAGTAATGATTTGTATTTTATACTCCCTGTGAAAGGACTTTTTTTTTTAGTAATATATTATTTCCTATTTAAATTGATCATTTATTCATAATTTGTGGCAAATGGATTCATGTATAAAACCATTTTTTTTTATAATGTTAGTCATTTGATGTTCATCAATTTTACATTATCGATTAATGTCCCGCATCTAGTTTTCAACTATGTTTACCCAAAAATCTTCGGTTGTAAAAGCTGCTCGAAAGATCATTAATTTTTATACATTAGACTTAAGACTTCATAAAAAGGGCAAGTGAGTAACTTAATTTGGAGACAAACTATAATACAGACAACTTTATAAGCCATGCTTTTGTAGCTAAAAACCAAGCATCGGCATAGCCAGGGCCTATGCCGTGCCACCTGAAATTGGAAGAGAAGGAAGAGAGGCCGGAGGTTATTGTCTCCGGCGTTTCTATGTGTTTACGAGCTCCTTCGTGAATCAGGAGGTCAACTTGGCAAGTTCAGGTCCGGAGTTGCTTGTGGGATGTTCAGATTCTGAGTACCTGGGATAACACGTGTCTGTGAATGTTCCGGTTTCTTCAGGGCAAGAACGACTTGTTTCTCTGCCATTATAGCATCTGTCTTTCTCTTGACCACTCTTGTTTCATCTGCAGGATTAATAGAGCTTGAGCTTCCCTTTAGCTTCTCATGCTGCTGATTTGATCTGTCAACCATAGTTTGACTGGTGACCACCGAAGTGCTGGTTGTGTTTGGATCTACAGTCATTTTCTCTCCACTCTGTTGTCTCTGAGCCACTGATTCCGTGTTGGGCTGAGCAGTCCACTCTATTTTTGGTACCAACTGCTTCCTGCTCTTCTTCATCTTTGTTTGATCCTTTAATGAAGCAGAAAATAATCAGGCAAAGTAAATTGAGAGAATGCCAATGCGATGAGGTCAACTAAGAAAATTCTTTTTAAGTACCATCTCCTTCCCAAGGTTCCCGTACAATGCTTTTTGCCTCTCTTTTGCCCGGCAAATTGCACGCTTGATCCCATGATTATCCATTAATCTATTTGGCCAGAGTTCAGCCAGCTGGAACACCATTACACCCAAAAAATTATTCATGAAGTTCTAACAAACAACCTTGAAGTTTAGGCTAGGTCTAAGCAATAAAACCAGAGTACAAAAACATTCGTAAACAGGAAAGAGCTTACATTAACATACAGCTTTCTTATTTGTGGACCTTGATCTTCATCCAGTCCCTAGTATACCAAAAAACAACAAAACCGTTTTGAGTTTAATTTTGGGTCTAAATGAATTGGCTTGGCAGAATATCGAAAGTAAATCATAATTACTTCAATAAAGATGTCATATAGATCACACAATTTATCCTCCAATGCCGCATCCATGACAAACTTCTTCAAAGATGGCTTTTCTACAGAGTCCTGAAAATCGTCTGATGTTCCAGTTTCTGGTCTAGTTGTCTGTCCCAAAAAAAAAACATGATAGTGCAAGTTATATCACAGGTGCCTCAACATATTTATAGGAAGGAAATAGGCTACAAAGAGCGGATTGACCACAGAAAGCAGAAGAATGAAAAGTTTAATCCAGGGGAAACCATTATCACATATCAGAGAGAACTCCAGATACATAGAAATTAATGCCACTTCCGAGACTCTAATAAAGCCATGGATGAAAGAATTCCAATTATACAGCTTAAAATTAGAAAAGATAGAGAACCTGTGATTCCATCAAAGAAACTTTCGTTCTTATCATATCAAGAACTTCATTGTTGATTCGCTGGAACCTATTATCTTTTTCTCGGTTTGCAGAATCACCCATATCAATCATGATTTTCAAGTTCCTCTGCAACAATAAGGATTATGGAAAGTAAATTAACTTCTCTAAATAACCCATATTTTGTTTCCTTACTTAATAGAAGAATTTTCAACTGGAACCTTAACAAATCTAACTATATAACACCTTGAAGAAAATCCTAACAAGTCCGCTTCTGTAACAAACACACTTGGATACAAGAGACAGAAGAAATTACCTTAAGTGACCTAAGCTGGATTAGGTGACCGACAATGCTCATGAGACGGTTGACTAACTCTGCCGAAAATTTTCCCTGGCTGGCCTGCATCCACAAAAGCATTCTAGTTTTTTCTCATACCATTTCAAGTATCAAACAAAGTGAGAAGAACAAATAGAAAAACTCAGTACCGCAATCCTAGCAACTTTAGCAAGTTTCAATTTTACATCTCTTGGCAATCTCCTCTTAACTGCCTGGGATGAGGTATCAGCTTCTTGATTCTCAGTGATAGCAGGAGGCCTTGCTGTTTATAATAAACAAACTACTGTAAGTTGAAATAGCCAAGTTCTATTTTAGTTGGTCATCCACCTGAAACATATTAAAACTCACATTCCGCGACCACCTTCTCCAATTCTCTTATGGCTTTCTCGAGGATCGAGGTTTTAGACTTCACATTAGAACCATCTTTTTTCTGAGTAGAAACAAGTTATCACAACATTACAAAGCGAATCTGATGTAAACTTTGTGGTTAAAAAATTGCCTAGAAGGATTAAACAGAAAAATCTCCCAGAGCCCAGATGGAAACTAAAGAAAGATAACTACTACAGAAACCGTAAATGGATGCCAGCCAGATAACGTGGTGCATAAATACCATCTAATATGCAATAATAGACCATTATTGAGTCACGGAGATTAAAGCAATCATTTTGGGATGTAATAGATGACAGCCCCCCAAAATTACACATGCAACCTCCAAGCCAGACCAACTAACTGATTGAATTTGATGTAATTATAGACGCAGTTTGAATGTACTTACAGACGCTTGACTAGATTGTCTGCTTCCCATTGCATTTGCTAGTTCATGCACACCATTGTTTTCTTTCTGGCGAACTATTGTTGCCTCTGCAGAAACATTGGGTAGAAATTTTCCTGGAAGGGACTTAGATTGTTGATGTAAGCCTTTGTTGCTGTATTTTTGTTGAAGGGCACTAGAGGATCCAGTTTCCTTTGACTTGTGAGTTGTGTCCTTCTTACTCAGATAGTTTGCTCTATCAGGATGCTTGACATTATCCAGAGATAATGAAGTATTTGCATCTTGCGCTCCAAAAGGCAAAGATGACTCCTGTGTTTTCCTTGCAACATTATACTTTCTCTTCAAAGAGGATCCAGAAGCAATTGACTGATCCTGAACTTCCCCATTCGCATAATCAGTCATCGGATACAAACTCCGAAACAAATAAGTAATATCTGCAAAATTTGATGCTACCTTTTGCCTAGCTGTTATGGACAACTTGGTGTGTTTATCAGATACGTCAACAGCATCACCAGAAATTTTTGTGGAATCTTTGCGTCGCCTTTTTTTGGGTTGCTGGTTAGATGTTGTCGAAGGTTCTCTGTTGTAAAAAAAGAGTTGGAGATCACTTGTAGATGAAATATAGCATGTTTAGGTGAAATTGAGAAAAACTCGTATACTATCAAATTAAGAACCTACATCTATATGAACCATACTAGTCACACTATATAGACAACAGCTTAGGCAGTGGCAGTAACTAGTAAGACTGCCAACCATATTCTACCATTAAGAGAGACTGCATATATCCAGATACGACGGAAAAGGGAGATGACATTTAATGTTGTTTTCAAATACTCAAGACACATTGTCGATTCTAAACATGATTGAGTAAATTGAAAGTGACAGCCACCACAGATTTATGAGACGTCAGATAATGAAAAGAGGGAAGAAACTCACATCCGCTCTAACTTTCCTCTATTGACATAAAATCCATCATGTTTAACAGCTGAATTATCAACTTCAAAATACTCATCCTGCCAGGAGTAGAGTGAGAAAACAAAGAAATGATGTCTCAGCTGTCAGAAAAACACGTTGCGCGCATAAAAACATATGAAGATATCAACACTAACCAGTTCGGCATCATCGATAAATGAATCTTCAGTGTCATACTCATCATCGTCAGGAGCACCGTCTAATTCTTCCCCATCACTGCTATCATTTCCCTGAGAGTAATATTCTGAAGTAAGCATACACTATTTAGAGATATGTGACTACAACAGTGCTAATGCATGGTATGCAAAATGTTGGTAGATGTAAGAAATCAAACACATCACAGCCTACCTATAAATTAAAGCGTTAATAAGTTGAAACAAAACTTAGCATACCTTATAAAGCCTTTCTATCTTCTCAATAACCGCGTTGAATCGATTAGAATGAGGTTGATCATTCGTTTCAATTTCTGCAGGCTGTCCCTACAATGGATATAGAAATACAGCTGTTGACAATGGTTTGAAACCATATTGTATAAATAAGAAGAATGAACTGTGAGAAGCCGCAAGCATATTCTACCTTCTTGAAATTAAAATCCACTATTTTATGCTTGAACTGCCTAGTTCTGCTACTTGAGCTTTCTCTATATTCTTAACTCATACATCTATAGTTCCCATTGCACTAACTAAACCAAATTCCTTTCGAGATCAAGTAGAATTGATGGCATATTCACGTTGATATCAATGAAGTTCGCATAAAGTAGCTAGCAATTAGACAAGAAGACAAAGATCATAGATCAAGTTGCAGACATTCGTCATTTAAGGAGTTTGCTAATTGAACTCTAGACACTGGACGTGAGAGAGCAATGACAACATAATTCCTCCTACCCCATATCCATTTCAAGCAGTTTCCCCAACAAACAAATCTAAAAATCGGTAAAATAGTAAAGCTCCTGGATTAAACCCTAACAAGAATATGAGCTCCCCCCACAAACAAGACAATGCTTAATCCGATAGCGGTAAACGAAACTCGCACACAAATGCATACACATATATATACGAGTACTATTCCGTGCAACATCAAACTCACCGGTCCAATTCGAGACTCGAGGTTAGGGTTAGCATTAGGAGGCGGATCGGGAACCGAAGCTGATGAACCATTGACCTTACTAGCATCTCTCATAAGCTTCTTCCACGATACATACGTCGTATCCCCTGGGCGTAGCTCCACCTTAAGTAATTTCCGATCACCGGCGGTCAAAACATTCGGCGATGCTCTCAACGATTCGCCGCCAATAGTAACCCCACTCGTCTCCTTCATTTCCGACATTAACAATTCGGGTCGGGTCAGTGATCGAGTATTTACTGAAACCCCGAATTCGAGACGGCACGATCTGAATACCAATCAAGAGAGTTGGATTGGCCGAATCGATTTAGAGACTCGAAATACTGAAAACTGAGAGATGAAGAAAGTTGCGCGGGATACCAAAAATGACGCTCTTATTATTTTCCTTTATTCATTTTTTGTTGTTTTATTATATAATTTTAGTTTATTTGTATTATTCTGAAAATATCTAATCCTGTGAGCTATTTACAACACTCTGTGAGGCTTTATCCGCTTCCCATGGCGTCTTCCGCCGCTTCTCCTTCCTTATCTCTACTCTCATTCACCTTGAAACCACCGTCTCCCTCCTCCACGCAGCGGCAATTTGCGTCATTCAGAAACGACAATTGTTTCGCGCCTCTAACACTCAAATCCCGCCGCGGCCGTGGTATTATCGTAAAAGTAGACGACGTCGATGGTGATGGAGGTGGACAAGACGAGTACGACATAGATGATGAGGAGGTGGAGGAAGTGGACAACAAGAAGGACTATGACGTCGAGTACGACCCCTTGGCCGCCGCGATAGCCGCTGCAGGCGGTGGTGGTGATGGAGATATCGCTTTTGTGCAGAGCAAGAGCTTTATATCGACACAAGGATGGGACTCGGAGATGGTGGTGGATTACCGGATAAACGAAGACGAGTTCCATAAAATCAGCTTAATGGACTGTGATTTCTTTATCAGAAAACCTCCTGATCCAGATAACGATGTTTACGACTTCAGGGAGGTGAGTGAGTTCAATGTTTCAAATTGCTCATTTCTTCAATTTCTCTAGTGTCTGTGTCCATTTTTCCAACTTTACACTGCGTTTTGTTTGTGGGTGCAGATGTATGTTACTCCTCCGGATACAGATATTTACTCGATTCCGAGAGTTCTTGCTCCAATGCCTCAAAAGGTCAGTCATTTATCCTTACCAGTTATTGTTTTTGTAATGCTTATGCTTTGTTCTGGGACTTTCTTTCGTTCACCAAAGATGAATGTTTTTCTTATTGTGCTCAATTGCTAAATCATCCCGTTCTTCATTCTACCTGTTGGTAATTTTATAAAATATGTTATCTTTTCTACACAGAGCTGTACAAGTTTGCTATTATCTTGTAGACTGAAAGTTTGAACTAATAAACTCAAAAAAGTGTTGTAAATGGTAATGGCTTTTGCCATCACTTACTCATTAGTGTGATCAGAAACCCAGAATGTGGCAGCTGAGTGTTGTTTAACCACTTTCCCTATTATTCTGGCCAGTTTTTTATACTTTCTGCATTGATGTTTGTGCATGTTTTACATCCAAGGTTATCTATCAGTAATTTGGTTTGGTGCTAATAGTGGCTGGATTAATTATGTTACAATGCAGTATATTCGATGTGCAATGAGTGACTATGGATGTTACAATGTCACTGAACCACCTATTGATGCTCCCAGAGATCCACTGTACAAATCTGAGAGGGAGATATCCAAGGTACATTTGGACCATGCCCCATACATTGATGTTAAAACCATTCAGGTCTTTGATGCAGGGGCTCTTGAGCAACATTTTTCAACAAGGAATTTTTGATTTGGCAAAAGATTTTGAGATCACACCAGGAAATATGTTATATAGCTCATTAAGGGTGACATCAACACGAAAGCACTTAGTTTAGTTTAGTAGTTACAGTTTCTGTGAACTTGTCTTCAACATGTTTATTCATTATGCAGGTTTTCTTGACAAAGCATTACCGGAACAGAAGAACAAACGACCCAGAATTTGTGCTAGACCTTGAAGAGATATATGTTATTGATTCCAAGACAAAGTCAATCACCAGAGCCAGAGTTCTGGTATGAGCGATTTGTACCTTCCAATTTATTTAAGTATTTTTAACAAGTTCTCATTCCGAGTCCGAGCACAGACCTCAACCTTAAACCATAACCAATTGGGGTGTTTTGATGTTTTTTGACATATTCCCTTAGCCGAATATGCTGCATGCTATTACACTAATACAATGCTGGTTTACATTGGTGCTATATATGCCTCTAGTTCTGAATCATATAGCTTGAGTTATGAGCTCTTAAATCATTGTACATAGCTTGAAGCTGTGAAGACAGTCTTCCTTCCCATGTTAAGGTTTAAGATTGTTACAGGTGACTGTCCCGGGAGGAAGAAAAAGGGATAGGAAGGATGACTTGCTAGTGATACGCGATAATGGAACCTCCTTTAAAATCATACACGCGGTAGCTTTTCCATTTCCACATCCTTTTTCCCTGGCAGTCATTTGTATTCCTGCAGCTAAGCTTTTACTCATGACTCATCCTCTCTGTTTATTGATTTTGCTTCTTCCAGGGGGAAAGAGATGATCCAACAACGGTAATAGAAAGGGAAGAGTGGACCAAGACCCGAGAAGATATGGAGAAACATCTCAGAAAGCTACGAGACTTCAGTGTCTCGAATTGGTTCTAAAAAATCCCAAGAGACGATCATAAAAAATCTTCCCGGGATGGAATATGAGCAGGTGATGTTAATCAATGATACGATGGAGGGTCAAAGATGTGTTGCTCCAGGGTAGACAATATTTTTGACCTCAGTTTACTTCACTAGCAACAGAGATGAATGCGTTACTAGATGATATGGGCTTAGGCTCTAGAAAGTATGTGTAGATGCAACAGTTGGATGGACTAACATTCGATGACTAGAGAAGCTAGCTTATTTTGCAAACTTTTATTAGGTGTTTAATTCAAGTTTTGAATTGATTATGATGTGGTTTTTGGTGTTACTCTTGTGAGGAGATATTTTCATATTCGAGATTGGAACAAAGTAATTGTAAGTGGGATGGTGGTGTGATAAACACTACCGAGTCACTGACGCAGCATTGCTATTGGATTGTAGCCAGCGTGTCGTTTTTTGAGATAAAAATCTTACTAAAACGGCAGGTATTTTCTAACACTTTATAACATGACATCAAAAGCGACACGTGTACTGGTATAATGTTTGGTCGATTGGATTTTCACGTGAGTGGGACGACATTTGTCAACGTCGCCGACAGTGTAGTAATGGTTTTGTGGGTGGTTCCATCGGCCCATTCTGTGACCACCGAACATTAACTTCCCTATTCAGATTTTTTGTTTTCCCTTCAACAAATTTATATTTAGAGACAAGATTATAATAATTACTTCGAATGATACGTAAACAAAACAGAAGTACACAAAGTCACCTACGGTCCCGTGATCGATTTAAGGATTTCATTAGGTTGTTATACAATAGTTGCGAACCATGAATGTGTTCAACATTATGTAATGAAATCTTGGTTCTAAACAAATTCGATTCAGTCGAAGGATTTAGGCACGTTATAATCCAAGTCAACTAAAATTTGAAAATAATGAATGTATTCATACATTCATTGAACTATGTACATGCTACTATAGGCAGGTTGGAACAAAAAAAAAACTTACATGTTAGAAAGTGTTATACTAATAAGTAATATTTTGCAGAAAATCAAAAAACACATGTTATCGAATTTCATAAACTAAATTGCACGATTAGTCAGAAATGGAATTTATAATAACGAAAAAGTACGTGGACCAAACCGTTGAATATGCATCATATAATAAAGCAAGTATGGTCTTCTTCGTGGCCTACATCTCTACTAAGTATCTTTGAATCTTCAACCTACCTATTACAATACACACACAATAGAACAAAGAGTGAATCATATACTAAAAAACAAAGGGAATAAAATCGCATACTAATTATGAAAAGTCTTTGTGATAATTTGTTATCTTATTGCCCCTCCCTCATTTATGGTTTTGTATATGGCACTATGTTCCATTACCTGATAACGGTGGACCATAATTTGCCGTATTTTATACGTAGATTTTCTTATCTACACCCTAAAATTTTAACAACAAATTTTAGAATTTGGTGTATGTTTGTGACAAATAGTGTTTATTTCATGAATCTATCTGAAATATTTGATATTATTTTTGGTAGGTTGATATTTATTAATGGAGAGTGTACTGTGTAGACTAAAATAATTGTTGATTATTCTATCCAATGGGGGCAAAAAATTGAAATTCTAATATGTCTGCTCCTCCGTTCCTTTTTGTTTAATTTTGGATTTTTATGTGTCCACCATTCTTATACTCTTCTTCTCTGAGTTCTCTCTTTCTCAGAAGCTGCAAAACCCAAAAAAAACAGAGCCGCAAGAGAGTGTGAGAGATTGAAAAACTCTCTTTTCCGAGCAGCGTATTCTCGTTCCGATGATTTTGGTTCTCCAGGAAACATCACACTAGAAAGTTTTCGCCTGAGATTCTGAGAAACCATTTTGAGGAAACTGGAGAAGTGAGTAACTTTAAGAAATAGATGGCTGAAAACGGAGTCGTTCCAGGAGGTGGAGGGAGTAATGTTATGGTGGGCGTGAAGTTCGATGAGTCGAGTCATGAGCTGCTTGATTGGGCTTTGGTCAAGGTTGCTGAACCGGGTGATACTGTAATCGCTCTTCATATTCTCGGCAATGGTATTAACACATTTTTGTTTCTCTGGGTTTTTTTTTTTGAGTCAGAGAATAACAAAAAAGCTACGATTTTTGGAATTGGGTTTTCATGTTTACTCTCTCTCTATTTGGATTTTTGTAGAGATCGTTGATCGAGCAGACAACTCTTCGCTTATCTCTCTTATTAAGAATTTTGACTCTGTTCTTGAAGTCTATGAAGGTTTCTGCAAATTGAAACAGGTATAATATTTAAAGTCATGCTCCTTTTTTTTGAATGAAATCAACAGTCTCTAATGTGATTACTTGGAAATGTTGAATTCCTTTTTAATAGGTGCAGTTAAAGTTGAAATTAACCCGGGGTTCTTCTTCTCGAAAGATTCTACTTAGAGAAGCAAAATTGTGTTCTGCATCCAAAGTTGTAGTTGGAATCTCTAGACGTTACCATACAATTCATTCATCTGTCTCCGTGGCTAAGTTCTTAGCCAGGAAAGTACCAAAAGATTGCTGTGTTCTGGCTATTGACAACGGGAAAGTCATGTTTCAGAAAGATGGTTCCCCATCGATCATTTATCACTCTAAAGGTAAGGCCTTTCCCTATAAATTTCTAACTTTTGTATGTGATGATTTGTATCAGCGTTTGAAACTCTTCTTTTTTGGACATTGGTTTGTTCATAGGAAAAAGTGATGCTCGTAGGAAAACTTTGTCTAGTTTCTTTCAGATGCCTGCCACAATGAGAAAGAATACTAAAGTCGTAAACCATTCCGAGGAGTACGAAGAAGAAGCGGAGGAGGATCACTCCAATGGCCAGAGTCTACGGCGCTCTTTAGTGTATGCATGCCTTGGGAATTGCTCGGTTCGTGATATGAATTCTCTGCCTTCTGGATCTTCTAGTTCTGATGGTGATCAAGATGATAATGCGGATTTCCACAAGGCAATGGCACTTGTGCCCGCAAAATTTCCTGAAGATTTGAACCGATTTATTACTATGCTGGTAAAGGAACTGCCTGAATTTAGACCAGGTTGGCCTTTGCTTTGTCGTGTAGATTCTTCAGATGTATTAGCTTCTGCTCCGCGAAGTTCTTCGTTCAGAAAGATACCAGTTGCCCAGTGGGTGCTGAAACTGCCCTCTAGGACCAATTCTGTTGTTGGAGACACTAAGCAGATTGGTTTTGATTCTTCAGAATCTGAAGATGCTAAGCTTTTATCTAGCTTAAACACTGATAGTGGAGCAATTGTTCCTGATGATAATGATTCTACGATCCTGAAATGTTCTCTTGATTGTAGCTCTAGTAGATTCCCAGAGGATGTGGAGGATCTTCGGGCGAGGGTACCCACATCTTGCCAGTTTTTTAAGTACAAGGAACTTGTGTCAGTGACATCCAATTTTTGTTCTGGTTTGTTCCTCTCCTCTCATATTTAAGTTATATACTTTCTTTAGAGTCTTGTAATTTACATTTGTCTTACTAATAGACGCAATGTAAATTCAGATAATTTCATTGGAAAAGGAGGCAACAGCCGGGTTTTTAGAGGTTATCTGCCAAATGGAAGAGAGGTTGCAGTCAAAATTCTCAAGCAAACCGAATGTGTCTTGAAGGATTTTGTGGCAGAGATTGACATCATCACAACCTTACACCATAAGAACGTTATTTCCCTCTTAGGTTATTGCTTTGAAAATCATAACCTATTACTGGTATACAATTATCTCTCAAGAGGAAGCCTTGAAGAGAATCTTCACGGTAAGCCTCTAACCTTTTAGCCAGTTGTAGATTTATTATGATCTGGTTCTAACAAAGCGTGGTTTGACATTAGGCAACAAAAAGGATCTAGTTGCATTTCGTTGGAACGAGAGATATAAGGTGGCCCTGGGAATAGCTGAGGCATTGGACTATCTGCATAACAGTGCCCCACAACCTGTCATTCACAGAGACGTTAAGTCATCAAACATACTATTGTCTGATGATTTTGAGCCACAGGTAAGTTTCTTTTAGTTTCTAACTTTCACATCGAAGAGGAAACTGTGAAATACTAAGAAGGGAAATCATGTTCACAGCTTTCTGATTTTGGGCTTGCAAAGTGGGCGTCGCAATCTACAACTCAAATAATCTGCTCCGATATTGCAGGCACCTTTGGGTGAGGAAATAAAAAAAGAATCAAATTTCAGTTGATGTTGCGTGAATGTTATTTAAGAGAGTACAATTTTGACAATGCAAAATGTTTCTTGGTGCAGCTACTTAGCTCCAGAGTACTTTATGTACGGCAAGATGAATAATAAGATAGATGTCTATGCATACGGTGTTGTACTCCTTGAGCTTCTTTCGGGAAGAAAACCGGTTAATAGTGAATCTCCAAAGGCTCAAGAGAGTCTTATTATGTGGGTACGTGAACTGAAAACTGAGTACATTGAAAGTACTATACTTTCTCTGCTACTGCTAAACAAGTGTGTATGTACATGTGCAGGCGAAGCCAATTCTGGATGAGAAAGAATATTATCGACTATTGGACCCAAGTTTGCAAGAAGATAGCAAAGGTAACCACATGGAGAGGATGGCGTTAGCAGCAACTCTTTGTATAAGACATAACCCTCAATCTAGGCCGGAAATGGGAATGGTGAGTTAATTCTTTTAATTCGTTGAATTGAGTACACATGATAAATCCACAAGGGTGTAATAGTGATTACTAACATGAAACTTCTTCTGTAAACACAGGTAGTAAAGCTTCTTAATGGTGACGCCGAGATGCTAAAATGGGCAAAGCTACAAGTCAGTAACCCTTTAGAGGATTCAAAGGTACTCAAGGACGAGAAATTGTGGAGGTCTAATCTGCAGTCACATCTCAACCTAGCATTCCTCGACATGGAAGATGACTCTCTCTCATTGGGAAGCATCGAGCAAGGCATCTCCGTGGAGAATTATCTTAAAGGCAGAACAAGCCGTTCATCGAGCTTTGATTGAGCCAGTAATGTTCACTACAACAAATCACAATGGTCAAAACTTGCCAAGGTGAGATGGTGAAGAAAATGGGTGAGTGTAAAGTGTAGATATGAAAAGGCATATATCTTTTCATTTTGGATGGGTCATGGGGTGGTGGATGAGAGGTGGATTTGTGGGTTTTATAGGCCCTCCTCCCTCCCTATGTTGCAGCTATCCATTGTTTGGAGTGTCAACATTGACAAGTAACTTTTATTCCTTGATCCAAAATTCCTCTAATGGATCAAAGTGAATTTTCTTGCATGATGCCCGAACGTGCCCGGTGTCTCAGACTCTCAATGTCATTATCAATAGATAACATTATCTTTGTTGAAATAATAATTGCGTTTATTGTGTATCACAATCTAGAAAAGATTTGGCAATCTTATCTTAGCTCTTATAAAGCTTGGAATACAAACCATGTGTGTCTGAGTCAACTTAATTTAGTGGTACGAGATGACATAAGTATCATCTTGTCCTATTAAAGGTCCGCTTGCGTTTGAAACGAATAAGATGAAGTATATGTAATAATAACTATATGTTAAAACTTAACTATAATTACAGTATATGCCTATTTTTGTTGATGCTATTAACAGCCATGTAACGAATTTGATATATTGGGTATAATATATCATTATTAACTATAATGGGCCGAATAAGATTAGGGATATAAATAAAGTCGATTACTTTCGTTCTTTGCTCTTTCATCTCCTCGGCCAGAAAACGAGAGTTGATGCCTGTGGCACTTGTGTTCGTCGAGAATCTAAAACCCAAATCTTCTTTTCTCGGAGCTGTATTCAATCATTCTAGCTCATCAAGTTAAACAGAGTAAGCTCTTCTTCTCTTCCTTTCTCTAATTCCGTTTCGTCTCCGTTTTTTTTTTTTTTTTTTTTCCAATTTTTCTGTTTGATTTTATACGAAATTTGTCGTTTTTATTAAAGAATATTGAATAGCCATGATTCAAAGTTTCAACTTTTATGCAACTGATTCTGATGTTCCGGTGAATTTAAGGGTTTTTCTTTTTGGTGTGAGTTGGGTATTCTTGTGTAATCGTTTTGAATGTGTCTTTACTGATGATTTTGCGGGTATTGTTTTAAGGATTTGTATAGACTTCCATTACATATTGAAAGGACTTATAGCTTCTAAAAGGTTGAGTTGTGTTCGAGAATCTTACCTCTGAGGCATTGTTATGTATCTTAAGCTTAGTTGTTCTGTTTCAGTTTGTCTAATTTTGTGTTCATTGTTACGCATCTTAAGCTTAGTTGTTCTGTTTCAGTTTGTCTAATTTGGTTTCATACTCACTCTCTATTTCGAACAGATTTGGGGTTTCCACTGCAACCTCTTCTGCTGATAACACTGAGGAAGAGGCAAAGCTAGAGCATTAAGGTACTTTTCATAATTTGTTCCAAGAATAATGTGTGTATGAATTTAGTTTGATTGTGTGTTTAGTTTCAGTTGGTGTGTATGAATTTAGTTTGATTGCGTGTTTAGTTTTTCTTAATTGGTGCGTTTGAATTTGAAGTGGGTGGACAGCAAATTGCAGTTGTTGCAGAGAATAAAACTTGAATTGAACTTAGAGAACAAAGTTGATAAGTTTTGACTTTTGACTGCTTCTAGTTTCCCTTTTGTTTTCTGTTTCGGTTTCCTCCGATTGTCATTAGATCATCAGCTGACACAGTGCACCAACACATTTCTCATACCCTCTTTTATGAATTCGAATTGGAATTGGCATTGATAGCGACTATTACAGAATTTATACTTTTGATTGTTGATGTATAATATGACTTGACTGTTTTTTTCGTTTCCTGAAATTATTCATATTGACTGTTGATATGTCCATGTTGACTTAATTTTGATTACCTTATTAGATGTTGATTTAATTTTGTAATTTTGTTTCGTTATGATATGTTGACTTTATTTTGCTAGAAATAATTCAACTTTATAGCTTTGTTTTATTTTGGTTTATTTTGCTTGAGATTTGGTTTATATATATATACTAGTCGGTTGCCCGCGCTACGCGCGGTAGTTTTATTATGTTGTTGCTGAGTAATTGGTTCGTATTTTATTTTTTACTTATTTTTTTACTATAGCATACTTTATTTTTTTTAAACATTAGATTGTGTTTGTTATAATACATGTTGAGTTTTAGCTTTATTAGTAGTTGAGAAATTAAACGTGTATAATATAGATTGATATATATGAGTGTAAACGGAAGTGCAGTGGAGAATCATATAGAAACATGTGTTATTAGGATTCCTACCAAATATAGATCTAGATGTTAATATTGTGGTCCTTTTTAATATATTGGGCTGAAAGTTAAAAATGATTTGTGGGTTTCAAGCGGATTATTGTATTTTTATTGGTTACATTAACCTTGTATATTGTTATAATTTAATTTTTTGTTTTTTCGTTTCTTTTTTTTTTATTTGACGTAATTTATATCTTGTTATGATCATTTTTATACTATTATATATTTGTTTATGATTTTCTGTTTTATATATTTTTCGTATATTCATATGGAACAAATTTAAAATTTAACATATTAGTATAATTTACTTTATATTTAGTTCATTTCATTTAATTATGTTTTTGCTTTAATTTTCAATTTTTATGAAATATTGTTAATTTTTTGTTTTGTTTATTAGTTTACCATATTTGTTGTATTGGAAAAAATTAGTTAAATTCATATTGCAAACTATTAAAGAAATATTATTTTTAGTGTGACCTTTTTTTATGTGTTTTAAAAATGAGAATTCATGTTTTGTACTAACCTACAGTAAAACCTCTATAAATTAATACTCGATAAATTAATAATCTCTATAAATTAATAAATTTCTTCGGTCCCAAGTTGGGACCAGTGTAATTTTAGACATATTTCGATAAAATAATAAGATAATAATTTTTTTGAAAATCCTTTGTAAATATATGGTCCCAATAATATTATAAATTAATAATTAGGTAAAATTTTCAAAATATATATATATAGAGACACATTAGTTTTTGTTAGAGTTTATTTTTAATATTTTACTATATCAAAAATGGTTAGCATTCTCTTTCAAGACATAATAATTATTATTTTCTTTGTAATTGATTATATAAAATACTAATTATCATGATTAAATCTCATTTTAAAATATTTTTCTGAAAAAACTTTCAAATTAGAAAAATCTCTCTATAAATTAATAATTATTAATTTATCGATAAATTAATACCTCTATAAATTAATAGATTTTCATGGTCCCAACATTATTAATTTATAGAGGTTTTACTGTATCTCATTTATGTTTATTAGATAGATTTATATTCTTAAATTTTTTTACGTTTTGTTCTATTTCCGTTAAATCTCATTTTAATTTAGGTTTAAATTGTGTAAATATAATTAAGTTTTGTGTCATATTATTTTAAATTTATATATATCTTCATTATAAAACATTATATTATTTTTATTTTTAATTAATAATATTTTTATTTTGATAATATATAATATAAGAAAAGATCTTTCATATTTCTTTTTGAAAAAATTATTTACATATGTCAAAATCAAATTAAATGATAAAATAATATAATTAATTCTTAAAACTAAATAATAAAATAAAGTAGATAATGATTAGGACGATGATGTGGCTTAAGGAGAAGAGATAAAAAGTTAACTTTATATATATAGATAATCGTTAATGATTTACGGTTTTTTCCTCATCATCATCAGAAGACGCGGTGGTTCCGAAAGATCAGAAATTTTCAATCAGCCATGGATTCTTCTCATTACAATCCTACTACCTACGAACCATGGAATTCTCCTTACTCTCCTCATCTTCATCCTCCTTCTGCTCCTCTCCTTCCGCCGCCACCGCCGTTACCTCCTCCTCGTCAATCTCATCCCGATAGCCCTAATTTCTATGCTCGATCAACCCAGAGCAATGGGCAACGCCATGATTACCACCACCAGTACTCTCATCATCGCCAAGATCTTCCTCCTAATCCGCCGGTTAACCAGCCATCTTCATATTACTCTCAGCATCCGCCGCCGCCGCAGCAACACAATCAGCCACCACCGTTGCAGCAGCTACAGCAACAGCATCCTCAATACATTCCTCAGCAAGTTAGCTATGAGCCTCAAAGGATATCGCAGCCGTTGTCATCGAGTATTCAGTGTACGGAATCGCGAGAAATTGCTCAGTCTGATTGGCCTGTGTTCAATGAAAAAAGACATGATCCATGGACTGTCGATGCTGCTCAGGGTCGAACTCGAGTGGATGATGGTCTAGGCCGTAACTATCAGTATGACTACAGCCGCTCCTCCAGGGATTCTTCGGGTGTTACCACTAATCGTGCCTTAGATGGTAGTTCTAGGTCTAGAGATGAGCTTCGTAGTCTTGGATATGTTAGAAAAGAATCTGGAGCCACTAGGATAGATGGAAATTATCAAGACCGTGGTCAGTTGAAATCAGAATTCGATAGATATTATAGGGGTTTAAACGAGAATAATAGGGTTTCATCTCCAACTGTTGTTTATGGCAGTGAACGCCATGGTGTTAGTGTTACAGTCAGTCGCAATATGACTAGGTCATCGGCTAGCCATGAGGGGGCTAGAACCCACAGATGGGATGAAGCGCGTAATGGAGGGAGGACTCTGTATCCCCGGAAAAAGGATGATTATCATCATTCTGAAGTAGAAAAATATATTGACCGTGGACGAAGAGAGGAGAGCAATGAATTGAATCGAACACCCAGGAAACAAATGCAGAAGAAGAGTGCTCTACTAAGGCTTGAAACTCCAAGATCTTATCAAAACAACAGAGAGAATGATTGGTCTCGGCAACATAATCATCATAATGGGAAAAGGTTTAACTCTAACTCGTATAGGGGTAAGGAACAATTGGGTCATTCTGATCGTGGACTGGTGGAGAAGCAAAGGGGGCGTACTCCAGTGGATCTTGATGTTTCATTTAAATCGAATGTTCTGGTAGCTAAGCCTGTAGCATCACCTACAAATGCAGGCATCCGTTCGGGCGCGTCTGTGACACCTAGGTCTAGTAAAGCTAGAAGAGCATTGCTTTCTGAAAACAATGAGAAAGCTTCATTGACTGAAGGAAATGAAAAGTTAAGAACCCATTTGTCATTTGAGGTATCTGTTTCTGAAGAAAGAAAATCTATTGGTTCATCTGATGGATCTTTGGGTTATGAAGGGAAGGATTTACAGAAGTCATCTTTAGATGCATCCATCTATTTTAATAGAGAAGATCCTGGTAGTCAGGTGTTTGCAAAGTCAGATTTTGGTGGTATCAAAGATGACAACAAGAAGATCAGTATAGATTCCTTGTCTCATGAAAATGACTCCTCTAGGGGTCTCCACATGGGTCTGGTTTCCTCTGCCACTGTGGACGTTGCTAATGTTTCAATGGATCTTGCTAATTCCAATAATAGTGCTTCAGGGGACCTTGGTAATGCCAAGAATAGTGCTTCAGGGGACCTTACTAACGCCAGCAGTTTTACTGTTGGATCGTATATCAATACTATGGTCAAGTCACCTGATATGAGTGTAGTTATGGAAAGTAAAAATCTTCTTCAGTGCGAAAAGACGGTTAATCCATCAGTTGAGAATGTTAGCAGAAAAGAATACATGGAAACTACCCCTCTTAATATGACTACAGAAATGGTTGACAATATGGACAGTGATGAAGGTAAACAGACGTGTGTAAATGGCACTTCATCTATGACAAAGTTTGCAGTAATGGGATCATTAAATGTGTTGCCTATGGAGAAGACGGATGGCTGTTCGCATAATGATAAATCAGATTTAGCTATGGCAGTACCATCTGAGGTGTGTATGGAAAATGTAAGTGCCGAGAGAAATGTCAATGATGAAGATCTGGTTTTGAAATCTCATCCTCCAGAAATTCCTCATGTAGATCAGTTTAGTGGTACAGATAGTAGGTATTTCAAAGCTTGTTTGTCGGAGTCAAATTTTTCTCTTAGCAAAGATCTTACTGATTGTGCGAGTGATAGTCTTGTTGAGGGAGACGCTAGTCAAAGTGATGCAACATTTTGTGATAAATTACCTAGGTTGTCTGCCTTTGTAACTGAAACATATCCTGCAGTTGAAATCAATGGTATGTCTGGTACTGAAAGAGATATGGATACAGAATCCAGTCTCCAAGAAATCGAACCATGTAAAACAGTATGCAAGTTGTTTCCTGAAGATCATTCTGGATGTGGATTATCTGGTGCAATTGGTTCTGTCCGAAATCTCTCTATGGATAAAAATCTGGAAAAGGGTCCTTCAATGGTCAGCTCTTGCTTAGTATCCGATAGTTCTGTCAGTCCTTGTCATATTTCTCCCTTGGTGGTAGAGAATGAGCATATACAAAACAAAACATCTTTTCAAGCTAACTGCAGTGATTTTCAAGGTGCCATCATGCATAAGGAAAATGATTGTGCTGAAATGATTGAGGTAGATATTCAAGAAGAGAAAGCAAAGCCTTCTGGTGGAACTTCTAAATGCAGAACTCTGGGAACTAATATTATTGCTGGTAGTGGGGACTCTGTGCTTTCATGTGATTCTTTGTCCAGCTCACCAAGGCGGAACTTCCGGCAGATACGGAGTGAAGTTCATGTTGCTGCTGTGGTTGATGCAAGTAGCAAAGGTAAAGAGAAACCCAAGCCTTCTGGTAATACTTCTAAGTCCAGAAATTCGGGAACTGATATCGCTGCTGTTAGGAGGGATTCTGTGCTTCCATGTGATTCTCTATCCAGCTCGCCAAGGCTGCACAGACCGATACGGAGTGAAATTCATGTTGCTTCTATGGTTGATGATACTAGCAAATCTAAAGAGGAAACAGATCCTTCTGGTGAAACTTCTAAACACAGAACATCGGGAACTGTTATCATTGCTGGTAGTGGGGATTCTACGTTTCCAAGTAATTCTTTATCAAGTTCACCAAGGTTGAACTGCAGGCAGTTACGGAGTGAAATTCATGTTGCTGCTATGGTTGATGAATCTAACAAAGGTAAAGAGAGTCAACATGGAGATGACATTTTAGATAGTTTACCAGAGCAAATCATGACCTCCCATGAGGTAACCCAGCCAGGTAGTTCTATGGTGCATTTTGATTTAGTTAAGCCAAATGGCGATTCAATAGAGAAGCTGACTGATATAACTTCTAATGTTGGCTCTGGTGAAGCGTTGTCATGTGATGGAAAAGTTTCTGGAACTGAAATTCCTGGTGATACAGGTGTTCGTGTGTCCAGATCCTACTCACATGCAGATGTTAAAGTTCCATTGACCCATGTTAAAGATGATGTAGTCTCTGTGCCAAATCGGGATTTCCAAAGTAAGACATCTATGATTTCTAAGTATGAAATAGAAAAGAAGAAAATGAAATCCAACTACTCTGCTCAGAAAAGTTATCCCAGTTCCCTGCCTTTTGTGTCTGACACTAAGAAAGGTGCTAACCCTCCAGTTCATATCACTAAGCGTCACACGTGGCATCGAAAGTCCGATACTTCTTCTTCTTCTTTTGGAGCTGCCAAGCCTTTGTCGTCAACTTTGTCTAAAACACAGATTGTTCCCAGAGTGACAGCCAAATCTAGTAGTAGTTATGTACGTAAAGGAAACAGTCTTCTTCGAAAACCCTCGCCTGGTGCTCCTGGTGTTGCCCTTGGAATGGCTCCATCTGCTGTCCAGTTGAATCATTTTACTGTCCAAGACAAAAGCATGGGATCGTCCAGTATGGTTGATGCAGATAATGCTTCTTCTATTGTTAAAACTGGAAAAATACTTACTCTTGAGAGGCAGTCAAATCCTCTCTCAGACAGCAGCACTTCCAAAGTATCAAATGCCATTGCTACTTCATCAGGAAAATGTGCGTTATCGTACAGCATGGATCACCTTACCACCGGCTTACCTGAGTCTATCATGGATTCTGCTACATCCGGAGAAGCTTATGTTCCACATTCTGGTGGGGATACATTCAAGACATCTGACACACTAGTTCAGACAGATAACACTTCAGATTGCCAGCAGAAGAGAAATCTCCCTAACTCGGATTCGTCAAATTTGAAGAGAATGGTATATGTCAAGAGAAAGGCAAATCAGTTGGTTGCAGCTTCAGATATTCTTGGTGTCAGTACGAACCAGATTCCTCCCTCTGATGGCTACTTTAAGCGAAGTAAAAATCAGCTTGTAAGAAATTCAGAGAGCTGTGTCAATCTGTCAATTTCCCTGCCTGATGATGCTTTAGATACACGATCAGCTACAAACATGGTTTCAGAAAGATCATCTAGCTCAGCATTCTCTGACTCTGGTATGTAAAGCATGTTGAACATCTTATTAAGACGGTTTAACTTGATCTGTCCACTGATATGCATGTTTTGTTAGGAGAATAAACTGTCCACTGTTATCCTACAGATTCATGCATATTAGACTCCCTTTCAATATATACTTGCTTTATTATTATTTTCCGGTTCTTTTTGTCCGTATCAAAAGCAAAACATGTATTAATTGGCCTTCTGTTCTACTGGCAGCTGTCATGCGACCATTTAAGCAATCAAAGTTTTCTCTGGTTTGGACGCAAAATGATCCACAGCCAAAAATGCCCATAGCTCACATGCGATATCAGAAGATTTTGCCACAACTCGTTCCTTGGAAAAGAGTGACATACTGGAGAAGATTAATGAATTCAGCGTCTGCTTACCGAAATGGTTCTTTTTCCAACATTAGGTATGTTAGCATCTAAAGGTGCTTATACTCCTTGAGCTACAACTGTTTTTTTGTGTGTTTGCAAACATGATGACAGGGATTCTAATATTCAGCCAAAAGTTGTCAATGATGAGGAAGAGACACACAGTTTACACAAGATCAACTAATGGGTATTCGCTTAGAAAATCTAAGGTATTAAGTATTGGTGGATCGCATTTAAAATGGTCCAAGTCCATTGAGAGAGACTCGAGAAAAGCTAATGAGGTTAGTTTCCTTCACTGAAATGTTTTTGGCGTATGTTTATAAATAATTGCTCTTTTGGGACAATTGAAAGTGGTGTAGATAACTATTTCTTTCTTCATATTTTTACAGGAAGCCACCTTGGCTGTGGCTGCATTCTCAAAGATTGAAAGCGAAAAGCATTCAGAAAAAAATAATCCTAGGACAACGAGCAGAAACCATCTGGCACGTAAGTTGGTTGGCCAGTTATTTGGACGAATTATTCCATTTTTGGGGAGGCCTCCTGAGTCCTGACCAGTTCTTACGAAGCATCATCTCCATTTCTTTTGGATTTATTTTCTTACTGTTTCTTGAGATGGGCCAGATGACTCTGTTTCAGCAAACTTCAAGTTTATTTATAAACAACTTCTGTTTTTCAGGAGAGCGCGTTTTCAGGTTTGGTTCCCTTCGTTACAAAATGGACTCTTCAAGGCGAACTCTTCAGAGAATATCTGGTAACATATCCTAAAGTTAAAACACAAATAAATGCTATAGTCTGATATCGGTGATGTGAAGTTGATATACAAAGACTCTCTCACACACACACATAGTAGGTCCTGGTCACGCACTTTAGGTGATTGATGATCATTGTCAACAAATGTTTCGATCAGATTTGAGAACTCTCAGGATTGAAACTGTTTGCATTAGTTGCATAAATCCTTGCCATACATATTTCTGATGAGCTTAAACATGGATTTTTGTTAGATGTTGATCCACCGTGTTCTGGCTCTTCTGAAAATGGAAAGGGTGTGAAAAGACCATTTATCCCAAAGAGATTGGTGATTGGCAATGAAGAGTATGTAATTTCTCAATTTCATTTGTTAATTTATTTTTACTGCACATTCTGGAGCCCAGATCAAACATTTAAATATTATGCAGATATGTTCGGGTCGGAAATGGTAACCAGCTTGTCAGAGATCCAAAGAAACGAATTCGTGTGTTGGCAAATGAGAAAGTCAGATGGAGCCTGCATAATGTCCGGTTGCGATTGGCCAAAAAGAAGAAGTACTGCCAGTTTTTCACAAGATTTGGGAAATGCAACAAAGATGACGGAAAATGTCCCTATGTTCATGACCCCTCGAAAATTGCTGTCTGCACCAAATTTTTGAATGGATTGTGTGCCAATGCGAATTGCAAATTGACTCACAAGGTTTTCCTACTACGTCATTGCTGCATAATTGTGCTTTACAGATATTTCTAACTAGATAACGTATTTCTTCCACAGGTCATTCCAGAAAGGATGCCTGATTGTTCCTATTTTCTGCAAGGTAAGAATTTCCACTGTACTAAGATGATCCCTTTGCGATGACGCACAATACTAATACCTAATGCAGGCCTATGTAACAACGAGGCATGTCCATATAGACATGTGCATGTCAACCCAAGTGCCGCTATATGTGATGGGTTTTTAAAGGGGTACTGTTCAGACGGAGACGAGGTAAGATGTCACCTTTATATACATTGAACGGTTTGCAACTGCTGCATCTATGTTGACATGCATATGCACCATTCTTTATCACTTCTAGTGAGTAATGACTCTTATAGTGATGACCTCTGTATAATTCTTTCAACGACTTTAATGCATAGTATGTTGACTTATACCATAAGGGAAAGATAGCCTTTCTGGATATATGTCACATGTTTTACTTCTCCCTCTCAATTGGCTCGCAAACACTTGATGAAGTATGATTGCGGACTGTCTCTACATATTGGTAACAGTGCCGGAAGAAGCATTCCTACATCTGCCCGGTTTATGAAGCTTCTGGATCATGCTCTAAAGGATTGAAATGCAAGCTCCACCACCCCAAGTTACAAAGCAAAGGAAGAAAGAGGAAAAGACCAAGCGAACCATCACAGAAAAATTCCCGTGGGCGTTACTTTGGTTCACAGCACAATGTCCTTTCTGAGTCCGAACCAATGATATTGGATAGATGTTCTACTGATAGTGAAGTTTTCGGAATGGAAGGTCTCGATTTTATAATCCTTGGCACTACTGAGTATGAAGCCGGTGATAACAGTGATCCAGCCACCGAGCAATTTATATCCCGCGATAATGATTCACCGATATCAATATACAATCTAATTAGACCAGTAGCTCTGATGCAGTAAGAAGTATCAGTTTGGTTAGGTGAGTACCATGGTAAGCTTTCTCTGCTATGAAAAGAAACTATGCGTCTTTTGATTTCTAGTATGTTATCTTGTGGTTTTTTAGAGGTTGACTGTAGCGAATCAGGATCTATCAACCTCTACACAATATTTCCTTTTCATGATTTTGTATCTACTGTGCTGGATCATTTTGCTGATCTATTTCGTTTATTTTTCACAGATCTTCAATGATCGTAAGACTGGAAGATCAAGGGGATTCAGATTCAGCACATGCAACGATGATAAATCTATGGAGGATGCGGTCAAGGGAATGAACGGACAATAGCTCGAAGGTCGCTAAATCGCGAGGAAGTGGTGGTGAAGGAGGCCATGGTCGAAGTGGTGGCGGCAGACGCGTGGGTGGAAGGACATGGTGATGGTGTCAGACGTGGAGGATACAGCAGCGTTGGTGGTGGAGATGGTGGTTCCGTAGGTTAGGGATTTGAATGTTTTGATTCTTTCGTCTGTTTTTTTTTTTTTGTTTTTTAACAGCGTTTCGTCTGGTTGTGTCGTCGTTGGTTCTGCTTTTGCTATTTTTTATGTACAGGTAATGTAAGTCACTATTCGTTCTCTAAAAAAGCGCATTCGCTAGATTTATTTGTCTGGTTCGTTTTATCAACTAATTTACAAGATTGATCTGTTCCAGTTTCCTCTATAACCCTCAAGAGCACTACTTCCCCTTTTTCCCTAACTGATTTTAGAGGGTTGATTTGAGAGTTGATTGTCGATTCTTGACATAGCTAAACTTGACAGGAATTTGCTATAGTCAACCCCTGTTTCATGTCTAGATAAGCTTTGTTGCAGGTAAAGGACAGAGAAGAGATAATCACATTACAGAACCTGATGCCAACTGGTGAACATGAACTACAACACAATGGTGACGCTAATTTTCCACAAATAAAAGCAAGTCATGCCGAAACTTATTTTATGAAACAAGGGTCTTGCATATCCTAATTATTTTTCCATGAAAACGGATTCTTGTGTCAGAACTCCCAAGTGCAGATGCTCCTTTGTCAGAAACATCTAATCTTCAAACATTCAAGATCGAGCCATGGTTTGAATGCATCATCACGAACCACATTCTGAGAAACAACAACATCGAATATTTTAATCCATAGTGCAAACGATTCTTTCATTCATTAACTGGTCAATTGTATATATAGTGATGATCAAGTATGGATGGTAAATGACCCCAATGGACAACTCTATGTGGCAAGAAGCAAGTTTTCAGGATAAACGAATTGCAGACAAATTATATTTACTCTTTAGAATGATTGAAAGAGCAGCTGAACAGGGATCACTTACCGTTAAATAAAAGATAAACCCGCGCAACAAGTTCAGAGCTTTATACTCATCCTTTTCATGTAAAGTATCAATGTACATCTTGTTGAAGTCTGCGGAATCGAACCAAAGCAAAATAATATGAAGATAAAGAACAGTTTCCCTAACATATTAACAGATAAATTTCAAAGTTTCGTGGTTATTTGGAATCAGAAGATAGCTAAGCAAAGCATAAACGTCCAAGAACATGTATCCAAACTTTTGTCTGGTAACTTACCTGGATACCCATCGAGATATGAAGGTCTCTCTTTTTCCGTTTTAAAGCTAAACTCTGTTCCATTTCGTAGTTCTACATGCCTGGAAGACACTCTATGCACTGATGCTTCTTTGTGAAGTTTCACGAGCTCTGTTTCAGTGTATGGCTGCTTCAGAATATTCATTATCTCCTTCCTAAACCAAGAACTGCGTTCATCACTGCTCCCGTCATCAAGATCCTTATAACATTCCAACAACAGAAAAAAGTGTCAAAAGGGAAAATTTTTGTGGCAAAAGCAAAGGTGAGTGAAGGTGATACATACAATCACTTTATAACTTTTTGATGCAACAAATGGAGAATCCTCCTCATCCATAAAGGGACTATCTCCAACAATAATATCAGAATCAGAATCGGACAAAGACATTGTATAGTCCTGCTCAAGTTTTACTTTAATCTCTTTTTCAGGATTAGTTCTTGAACTTTTCGAATTCTCCACTAACCATGTGAGATAAGCTTTGTAAGTTTTATCGAATACCAGGTGATCCTCCGAATTCTCGTTCTCGTTAGCATTGCCATTATGTTGTGAGTTTCTTTTCACATGACTTGTAACATGCACTGCTTCATCACTCTTCTCAGTCACACGACTCTCTCTTCGCCTTAAACCTGCTTCTTTCGTTGTTGTCTTCTTTGAACTTGCTTCAACATGAGGCTTTGACTCAACATTCTTCTTCTTAGTCACACGAAGAGTGTTTCGATCTTCCTTACTCGGCTTATCTGTAAACACTGCTTTAAATTCGCGATTGTCATATCCTCCGTTATCTACTTCATACCTAATAGACCTAAGTGGATTGTCACTCAGAAATGAATTCCCATCTTCTCTAAAACTATCCAACAACATCATATACTGATGATCAATTTTGGAATCCCAATCATCACCACCACCACCATCATCATCATCAGAAGCGACAACAAAACCAGTCCGTTGCATCTTGGAAGGTCTAGTTTTCCCAGCATCTGTTGAAGTATTAATTTCTTCAGCATCCATCATACACTCTTCTGTAACTTCACCACAAGGAACAACTTCATCTTCATCATCGTCTAAGTCCATCACAATAAACTCCTTCTTCACAGATCTCATTGCAGAAGCAGAATTCCCCAAATTTCTCATCTTAAATCCCTTCAATCACAAAAACAAAACAACCAGATGCCTTAAATTGACGTAGCAATAGCCTACACTTGAATTCACAGCAGCTTCCAGGACGAAAAAAAAAACAAAAAAACAAAAACCAAGATTTCAGGATGAAAAATTAAACATTTTAGATTTACTAATCCAAAAGTTGCACTCACTCAAAATAGAACATTTAGATATAAATCCTAAACTTGCATTGATTTAAAAATCCTATTTTCAAAAAAAAAAACTATAAATTTGAGTTCGATAGAATTCGAACACACAAATTCTCATTACGACCAAACTGGCGCATGCATGAGAAGAAAGATAGAATTCACACAACTAATCAAAACTCGGAAAAAAAAAAAAAAGAAAAAAAAAAAGAGGAAGAAGAAAGATACAAGTAGGAGTTGAATGGGATCACTTACAAATTCGAGCCAAAATAAAAAGCGAGAAAGAGAGAAAGAGGGATGTGTCTTGCAGAAGCTAAATTCCAAATACAGAAGAAGAGAACATCAAAATGATGGAAAAGGAGGAGAGTGGCTAGAAGAAAGAAACTACTTCTCTCATCGATCTCGCCATAGCTCACTCGTTGAGGAGGAGAGTGACACTGAAAGTAATAAAGCGAAAGTTTTTGGGAAGAGAGCTTTTTTTTCTCAATTACTCTACTTCAGGCCCAAATATAAGAAGAATAAGGCCCTAACTGGGCTCAGATTTTTTTTGTTCATTGTAGGAAGATGAAGAGATAATAATGTTTCCTTTTCCTCTTATTAAAAGTTCCACACGAAACTAGAGTCTAGAGCATTTGTCGTTTGCTTATTTTTTTGTTCTACTATGAAAAATCCATTGGAAAAAATTGGGCGATGGGCATGTATGTGGATGTGGGTGTGGCACTGTGGCCGGTCACTGATAAATATCTAATTTAATGGGGACCGTACGACTTAACGCCACGGAAGTCGAGAACGTTACCGAACATTCCATATGTCAGAGATATTAGATTATGACAACACTACTACCATTAAAAAAAAGTCCTACATTTACATAATGGTAAGTTTAGATTAGTACCGCTTCGCAGTTAACTCGTCAACGCTACAAAATGTTTTTATTAATCACACCATTATGCAAAATTGTGATCTCTTGTAAAATAAAGTAAAGGTTAATTACAATTATTTATTTGTGTTAAAAAATCAAAGATTATATAATTAGACGCGTCATGACCTATCTAATTTTCCATATAAAAATTAATCAGCTATATGTCCTAGTTTTGACACTAGAATATTAGATATACGTCGTATTTTAATACGACTTTTCTTCTAGAAACGTCGTTTTTAAGAAATTTTGTCGTTTTCACTTGCTATTTCTGGGAAGTTTCCTTGGCGTCAATCTCTTCCGTACATACTCATCTTATATATAGAGAGAGCTGTACGTGTACAATGTCTATAGACAATAAACATTGAAACTTGAAACAGTATAACCAGCAAAAAGGTCAAATACTACTCTTCTTGAATCTTTCTGTCAGAAAAAACAGAGACGAATCTATGGATTGTTGTTCGTTCATAAGCACAAACGATCTCCGAAGAATGTTCAAGAAGCTCGACAAGAACCAAGACGGGCTCGTGACCCTCGACGAGCTCTGTTGGATTCTTGAGAAACTTGGTTGGGCCGAACACACTCCGGAAGAGCTTGAACTCATCGTTGGTAAACAGAGCCTCGATTTAGACGAGTTCCTTCGGTTCTACCATGACGCCGTTTTGGTTAGCAAAGGAACGAATACCACCAATAATGATGCTGTTGTCGTTGGTGGCGATGATGAAGCGATCGCCAAAGCGTTTAATGTGTTCGATGTGAACGGAGATGGTTATATCTCTGCGGAGGAGCTTCGTGACGTGTTGGAACGACTAGGGTTCGAAGAGGAGGCAAAGGCGTGGGATTGTGGGAGAATGATTCGAGTTCATGACAAGAATCTTGATGGTTTTGTTGACTTTGAAGAGTTCAAGAACATGATGTTACATGTCTAATGATTTAAATACACATGTAACATATGTGTGTGTGTGTGTGTATAGTCCATCATCTTCCATGTTTTATGCGTTATATATGCGTAAAAACTGTGAAGTATATATACTTTTGTTATGTGTTTATGTATAAACTATGTCTTTTACTGTGATCAAGTTTGTGGCAATGAAAAATGGCTCTTCCTACTATATAATCAAGTTTTGGCAATGAGAAATGGATATTTTTCAGTGTGTTATTTTTTGTTGCAGCTTAAGGTTAAGTAAATGACTTCAAAGTTGTGTTTCTTTTCCATATTGTTCAACTCGAAACAGTTGTATACTAGGGAATCCAAGTCTCATATGAAAGCACAAAACCTCAGAAATAACATAAATTTCAAGCCATATGGAGAAAAAAACAAGTTGTAAGAAAAAATGCATAGTTTACTTTAGCGTGTGATCATTGTAAAGAGATATGACCGACCATGTCCTTGTCACCAATTAGCTGAATATTTGATTATAGTTTTGTTTCTTAGTAGTTAATAGTAAACCCTTCCACCCCATGAAAATCCACTAGCATTGATAGGCACATGATATCTGACTTTTAACCAAATTTGCAAATCAGAACCTACTTCCTATCTAGAGGCTTCGGTTATACATTCAATAATATGTTTCTCTTCTTCCTGCAAAATCAGATTATTAGCTCACTAACATAAATCACATACATGGAAGATGAGAAGAAGGAAAAAAAAATGAATCCATAACTAAGGAAACTGACCCTTCAGTTTCTTCTTTACCCATGACTAAAAAAACTGATAATTTTCTTAAATTTAGTTGTGAAAGGGGAGTTAGAAGAACAATTGCGTCATGTACAATTCAAAGATGTAATGTCTATAATCTTTGGATCATATGAGCATATATAAGCTTCTGATGAAGAAAATATGTTTTTTTTTTTTTAAGCTATATAAGACGGCTCTACAACATTTGTACTAGGAAAGGGAAATTTTAAGGTCGATCTAAACCATAAAACTGTAGTCAAGGTGGAAGTTGCAAATAAATTCAGTTAGTGTGACTATGTTCATTTTTTTCTTCCCTTTTTGGAATTAGTCTATGTTGATGAGGTATGCTCACACGAGATTACATAGCACATAAACTCCATATTGCTCAACTTGAAACAGTTCTATTCTAGGGAATCAACGTTTCATATGAAAGCACAGAACATAAATAACAAAATTCATGTGGAAAAAAATTCTGGCAAGAAACTGTTTAGCATAATCATTGTGAAGATATGTACCATATCTCAGATAATCTATATATGTCTCCCATATTGGGTTGAAATTTGATTTTTTTTTTTTTTTTTCTTTAACAGTTTCACTGTAACCTCCTAATTCTGTGTTGAAACCATAGATATTATGAATTGAACATTTGTTTCATGCGATTGTGTTGTGTGTTTTAAATTGGAAACTTCTCATATTGTTTCGTTTAGGCTTCTCTCATCTTGTTAAACTGACATGATTAGTTTTTTCTTAGTTTAGTAAATTTATGTCAATTGAAATGCAAAAGACTCTAATATATGTGATGCTAGAGAAGTTGATAAACATGTGTACTTACGAACATGACATATCTGTTACCTTTTTAGCCGAAACTAGACCATGTGGGTAAACAAGTATCTAATTAAAAAAAAAATCTAAAAAAGTTTCATCTCGAATAAGAAATATCTTCATGATTCCGAAATTGGAAAGGACATTGTCATTTGATACAATACATATGAAATTAATGGATCCGTATGTGTTGGGTGATGCAGAGATACATTAAATATGGATACAACTTCTAAGCTACCCAAACTTATCTACATTTAATCATCTCACCATCTACTGCCGATGTTCATCTCTCCCGGTTCAAAAGTTTTTTTTGTGAACACTCAGTGTCACATGAATCACTCAGCTTTTCACAATAATGAAAGGACACACACTTGTTGATATTCAATTTTGTTTACAAGTGTACCAAACTGTGTTTGTGTAACTTTACATATGTAGTTAATTGTTTTCTTCAAAGATAAAATAACCTTGTTTTTTTTTTGTAGATCGAGTTCAAAGTTAGTGTTAAATGACCATGTATTTCATAATAAATATGATTGATAAAAAAATTAGTTATATATCGTTATAGATATGTATAAAATTGTAAAGATGGTTAGTAGAATTTCTAGGGTTAGTCATATATACTCATATCTATTTATTTAGTATTGTGGACAAAAAAAAAAAATCAAAAGACAGCATCGAAACATAAATGTCCCGAAGGACAAGTCGCTCAACCAATATATCGTCACATATGCGTACTAATGACCTTACGAATAAATAACATCACCTCGACGTTGACAGTAGAAATCAATGCTAACAAGAGCTTAATATTGTATAAGGTTTTCAAATAGTTTAATTTAATGTAAGTTACTCTTTTTAGTACCAAATGTGAAAATATTACTAATATCAATCATGTCAGAATACTTTAGTTTGAAGATCCAGAATTAAATTTCTAGTTTGATTTGAAGTATTCGTCCATGCATAGATACCCCATCGTCTTAGCCTTATACATGTTCTACTGTGAATATGTATATTTGGAACGAAGAGTCACTATTCTAGTTAGCTCCCTACGAGTCTACGACCCTAACTAAAGAACTTGTCGTCACAATCTTGGAAGCATTAAAAAAATAATCGAGTTCGTTCGGTCCAACTTTTTGTTAGTTGGTAAACTCACGTCACCGGTCACTCACCAGTATATCTTGTGCTAAAAGGACAAAGAGAGAGATTCTTCCTACTTGTTAACCAAATTTAGCACTGTGATAAGTTACGAAACTAAAGAAGATTTGTTTTATTTCATTTCACCAAGCTGATTTCGTGGGGCATATGTGATCAATTACAGTTACCAACAAAACAAAACATAATAAACTCAATCACCTTCAAAAAGTTACGAACCTTTTTCAAGCTCTTTTTATAAATACAAACACATGTTGAGAGTCTCTCTATTCACAAAACCATACCGAAACAAAACATAACCAAAAAATAAAAGTATGGAACTCTTACTTCCACATGCTTCGAACTCAACACCTCTCACCGTCCTCGGGTTCTTAGACCGAGCCGCCTCTGTCTACGGCGACTGTCCGTCCATCGTCCACACCCCAAACACCGTCCACACTTGGTCCGAAACCCATAACCACTGTCTTCGAATCGCCTCCGCTCTCACCTCCTCATCTCTCGGAATTAACCGAGGCCAAGTCATCTCTGTCGTTGGCCCCAACGTCCCCTCCGTCTACGAGCTTCAGTTTGCTGTCCCAATGTCCGGAGCCGTCTTAAACAACATCAACCCGCGTTTAGACGCACACGCACTCTTTGTCCTCTTACGTCACAGTGAATCCAAACTCGTTTTCGTCGACCCTAACTCCATCTCCTTAGTCCTCGAAGCAGTGTCGTTCTTTGGACAACACGAGAAACCTCACCTCGTCCTCCTCGACGACGACCAAGAGGACGGCTCTTCTTCTGCTTCGGCCGCATCGGATTTTCTTGACACGTACGAAGGAATCATGCAGAGAGGAGATTCAAGATTCAAGTGGATCCGTCCTAAGACAGAGTGGCAGCCAATGGTTCTCAACTACACTTCTGGAACGACGTCTTCCCCCAAAGGAGTAGTTCTCAGCCACAGAGCTATTTTCATGCTAACCGTTAGCTCCATGCTTGACTGGTCATTACCAAACCGGCCAACATACTTGTGGACTCTACCGATGTTCCACGCCAACGGCTGGGGTTACACGTGGGGAACGGCCGCGGTTGGAGCCACCAGCGTGTGCACCCGTAGAGTCGATGCGCCTACTATTTACAACTTGATCGATAAGCATGACGTGACTCACATGTGTGCCGCGCCGATGGTTCTCAACATGCTAACCAACTACCCATCTCGTAAGCCGCTCAAGAACCCGGTTCAGGTATTAATAGATGTTTTGGTTCTTGGTTTACCGTCAAATCTAGAGTGGACTATTGAATCAACTCTGTTTTTGGTTTATTAAATTTAATATTTGAAAACAGGTTATGACCGCCGGAGCTCCACCTCCGGCAGCCATCATATCCAGAGCAGAGTCTCTAGGTTTCAACGTCGGTCATGGATACGGTTTAACAGAAACCGGAGGCCCGGTGGTGTCATGTGCATGGAAGTCTGAGTGGGATCATCTTGATCCATTGGAAAGAGCTAGACTTAAATCAAGACAAGGAGTAAGAACCATCGGATTTGCAGAAGTCGATGTCAGAGACCCTATAACCGGGAAAAGCGTAGAACACGACGGCGTATCTATAGGAGAGATCGTATTGAAAGGCGGATCGGTTATGCTGGGTTACTACAAAGACCCGGAAGGAACCGCGGCGTGTATGAGAGAGGACGGATGGTTCTACACGGGAGACGTTGGGGTAATACATAAAGACGGTTACTTGGAGGTTAAAGACCGGTCAAAGGATGTGATCATATGCGGAGGAGAGAACATAAGCAGCGCGGAGGTTGAGACGGTTCTGTATACAAATCCGGTTGTGAAGGAAGCTGCGGTGGTTGCTAAACCGGATAAGATGTGGGGAGAGACACCGTGTGCTTTCGTGAGCTTGAAGTATGACAATAACGGTGACGGGTCGGTGACAGAGAGGGAGATAAGGGAGTTTTGTAAGACGAAGTTGCCAAAGTATATGGTGCCAAGGAAAGTGATTTTTCAGGAGGAGCTTCCTAAGACATCCACTGGAAAGATTCAAAAGTTTCTTCTCAGACAAATGGCTAAGTCCCTGCCTTAAAAATCCGATTTCAAGTTATTGAGGATATGCAAAATCTCTATGAATGAATTAGTATAAAGATCACTTGTCTTTTGTGATGTATTATTGTACCTTAAGAAGGGATTACACGAGTTGTTAATCATGTTTGCCGTTATCGTTATAAGATTTGCAAAGATGAAACTGTTAATACTCTAGCTACCTCATTATTACAAGCGTGGTTCCTTTAGGTCTTGGCCTTGCTCTGTCCTGAATCAAACCTATTATAAAGATTATCGAACTTTAACTCCAGATTCACTACTCTATAAGAAATCCAATGAATCATTTTTTCTTTTATTTTATTTTTGTCAAAAGAGAATCGTTTGATGTGTAAAACAGAGAGATATACAAGAAAAAGTACATCGTCAAACTTGCCTTATTGGTAATTTTGAGAAATTTCTTGCATTAGGAAAATCGGATGGTACGATTCATGTGATTATGTAACAGGTCCATGACATATTTTCGTAAAAACCTTTTTAGTTTCCGTCAATGAATTAACTCTGGACTCACTCCTCGTCTGGACTGTGCTCTGTTCTCGCAAAACTTCCCCCCTCGTAAGCAAGAAATAAATTACCACTAGACGATGTCGTTTTTTGTATGCAATGGGTTTGGTCAATTATAAATACAGTATTACACATTCTTTAGGGGGTTATTGGGAGATTGAATCTAAAAGAGTTTGTGGATTTCAAAAGTTTTAGAGATTTTAAAATTCTCAAAGATTTTTGTAGATCCTAATAAATGTTTACTAAATTTTTTAGAGTTTAGTAGATTCTTAATATGATAGATTTTATAAATACTTGTGCTAAGTGCAGTATTTTAAAAGTTGTTGTTAATGACCAAATATGTAGGAAATCATATTCCCAATAACACTAGAGTTTAATAGAATTGTAAAATCAATAAGTACTCAACTTTTTGAATAACAAAAGATTTTAAATGAAATTACAAAATCAACACACCAATAACAAAAGACTTCATTAAGAATTTAAGAATCCATAAACCAATAACAATAGAATTTTAGATTCTAACAATCTTTAAAAATCATTATCTCATTCCAGTACTAGTGTTTTCTATGGTTTCGATCTTGATGGATGATGTTCTGGTTTTTAGTTTGTAAACTTGGGTAGTGTTATTGGTGTTTTTTTAATATTTTTTCATAAGACATAACCTTCAAAATCTCAATGACATATATTCTTAAGGTGTGCTGTTATAGCACATTAGAAATTAAATATATACAGTTTTCCTTCTTTTTTTTTTTTTTTTTGAACACATATAGTTTTCCTTTTAACCAACTCTTCTTTACGTGTTGACAGAAAAAAGAAAAAAAAAGAAAAAAACAATCTTCTTAAATCTTAAATACATGACCCAAGTCCACCTTGTTCAGATTTGTTAGTTTGTCCCGAGTACGTACGACGTACGATAAACTCTAAATCGGGTCCATATTTCGATGAGATGAGTCAGAGTTTGGATTCAGTGTGTTGTTCAATTTGTTTTTTCTAGAGTTCAAAGTTGGAGGTATATTTAAAGTATACGTGGTGTGGTAATTAAGGTCAAAACTAATATTGGATCACATCAAACGCAACACCTCTCACCGTCCTCGACTTCTTGGACCGAGCTGCTTCCATCATCTACCGCGACTGTCCATTAAGTGAGCCGCTTCTGGTATGGTACTGCACCTTTTTTCTTTTTGTAAAATTACTACCAATACTTTTTTGAAGAAGATAGTACAAAGCAATTAATAATTTTTAGCTCAATAACCAATCTAGAAACGATTATTCTGAACTAAGCAATCAAGATGAAGGGTCAAGAAGCCGCAAGGCCCACAACTCACTTTTTCACGTTAGCAAATTCCGTAGTATATATTATTTTCAATATTTTGATTAAATGTGAATAATGGTGATAATTATTTAACGTGTACGTAAATTTACTGAAAGCCAGCGAGTTCTAGAAATATTTTTGATGCTGATACAAATTTTCTCGCAACAATTTCAAGTGAAATGATCAGGAAACTTCCTCTAATATGTTACGTCGTGAATCTTTATCTAATAATGTTAATGTAAGTTTAATAATCTTTCTATATAGTTTTCTGATTCTCATACCCATGCAATTGTCGATATCTCTTCTATTTTAATTATAGAACTACTTAATTTTTTTTTTTGCAATTTCCTAATAAACTTCTTGTACATGCTCATGATTGGGAACTATAGTAGCGTATGAGTACTTCCTCTTAGTTTCCTTAAATAATGTATATAACCATAGTTTTTTTTTTTTGGGGTCAACATAACCATAGTTTATATTTCATAAAGTTACAAAAGCAACATTAGTTTTTTTTTTTCCTACTTGAGGTTAGCGGAAACAAGAAACTATAATCTAGAAGATTAACATTGTAGTTACAAGAACAAGAACGTGGTTCTGGAAGAATTGTCCACATCAATCAACCTCTTGCAAGATATAGATGCTCGCTTGGATATGATGTAGTCACATCAAGAGATTAAGCACTAATCTATTTATTCTTTTTAAGATTTATAGATTTTTTAATGCGAATAATTATGATTGGTGAGTTAAAAAGTACTTCAAATTTTCAATTGACACATCTTTCAAGAATGTTTCTTATACGTGGAAAGAATTTTTGACTAAAAGTCACATCGTTCTAAATATTATTTAGTTATATGTTTTTTTTCTTCAACATTTTAGTTTTGTAGCTTGATGATTAGTTAGAACTATAACTGGTAGTATTTATTTACTTCATTATTAGTGATGAATTTGATTATTTTGTTGTTGTAGTTAATTAATCTCCGTCTATAGAGACGGAATTCAAGCGTTAATAGTTACAGTTATATACTGAAAATAACTGACATGTAGTCATGTACACTTATGATTTCCAACACTTTTACAATTACCAGTTATGTTACTTTAATCATTAGAAACCAAAAAATAATCAAAGCACGGATCCCTATTTCCAGACAACGACCATGGCCGAGGAAAGGATTCATCAGGTCCGCCGCTCCTAAACTTTTTAAAGATGTAAACATAAAAGGCACGCTTCACAATTTCATACTGCTATATGTATGTATATATGTGTTTTAATTTGTTAATTTCATGCTGATATTACTTTTGTAATTCCAGCAAATGTTTAGTGCTAGTATTCGATATTGGATCAATTTGGTCTCGTGGTTCATGTGCTGAAGTTATCCATACTATTAAAATGCAACTTGTTTTCATATTTGTAATTTATTCAAACGGCCGAAAGGTAAAGGTAGAAATAAAGGAGAGAGTGGAGCCAGTAGTTAATCCTAATCCATATCATATGATTAATCAAATCGAATAAAAGAAGAATAAGTGGCTTTAATCAGTATCTGAATTAGTTATGTTATATACTTATTAGTTGCAGCATTACTACTAACTTATTGGCTCTCAAAATGAAACTGTATTATACAAAGGCCACGTGATGGAAACAGAAAAGATTCATAAAATAAACTAATATTTTTTTTACATGTAATTAGCTTGTACCATACGTCTCATCAACTAATATATTGAGGGGCTAAATCTAAGAGCTTATTTAATTATCTCCTAAACACGAAAAGAGAGGATTAGAGAAGAGAGTAAAAACATCGATGAGCGCTATAGAGAAAGCGGTGGCGGTAGAGGATGGAGAGTGGCGGCCGCAGCAGAGGTGGTTGGGGTCGAAACAAGGGAGTGTGTTCCCAAAAGAGAGGAAGCTGGTGAAGACAATGATTCTGAAGACTCTCTTTTCATCTCGTTCCCCTTTGAAGTCCAAGCAGACACCTGAGCTAATTCCGAGGAACAAGCGCGTGCAGTCCACGCTCCGGTAGCCTTCAGATGATGATACATATCATATTTTGTGGGGGTAATAATTAAAAGTACTCCTATAATTATGGGTCTTATTAGACAAATCAGTTTCCCCTAGTAAAGAGTGGATCATGTTAAATAAGTCCTATGTCTCCCGAATTAAGGATTTGTATGTGTGTGTGTGTTTGTTCAGGATAAGTTAATAAGTTCACTAGTTTCTTTGTATATATATTTCTCGTGTTTTACTGTTAATATAAGATTTTATAATTTACGACAAATAATATGATTTATATCTGTTTATTGGTTTCACTAAGTTCAGAATTGAATGTGAGAATGCTTGAGAGAGACTGAGAAGCTTCATACGCTAATAACTACAAGACCAGTGAATGAAATGTTCACTTTTTATTAGTTCAGTTACTAATTGGAGTAATGGTTTATTATTGGCTTCTATTAGCAATTGGTTATATATAAAGAACGGAACGGACGAAATTATGTTAAGGACACCATTATCACCTGCAGTGCCTAGGAAGTAGGATCGCTCCAACAAAAGTCAATAACATTTTATACTTAAGAGAATATATAAAGAAACAAAAACAAAACTAGAGGTGATACAAAATTTACGCATGCCTTATCGACCCTACTCATGACTGGGTTACAAGGTTTATTTGATTCGTATATAGAGCACATCGTCATGCGTTCACACTTTGAAGTGTGTCTCTATATAGTCCAAAAAGGTAGAAAACAATCAAATAATGTAACGGTTTTTTGTTTTTTGTGAGATAATTAATTAAATTGAAATAGCATCACATATGTTAGATGAGTCACATATGACGGCTTTTTTTGGGGATAACTGTAGTGGTCTAGAAGCCTAATTAGTAACTAGTAATTAGTAATCTAGATGAGCTCTTTCACGGTAATTATGTTAACAGAACATATTCAGAGGATTTATGAATTTTTCTTTTTCGAAAAGGCATCACAATTCACATCTGTTATTAGTAGTATATACTTTATAGTTTATATCTTATATTTTCTTTTCTATAACTAATAAAACCTCTAGATTAGATTATAAGTGAGAAGAAAGAAAAGGTATCATGGGTTCTTGGTGATCGTTAATTTGTATTATTAAATCTAAACAACGACCAAGGCAAATATAGTTAGGTCGGTTCTTTTAGTTATAAATCTATTGAAATGGACCGTAATGTTTCTTTTTAGGGCAAAAACTAAAAGTAACACAAATATATATATATATATATATATAAGGCTACTAGAAATAACAGAAACATCATTAACACAAAGAAAAGGGACACTGACAAGATCTGTGGTAAAAAGCCAATCAACAAGGACCGGTACATGTCATATTGTATTGTCATACAGTTTACATGTCATATTGTATTGTCATACAGTTTAACTCCTGTTAATCAGAATCTCTATCTAATCAACCGTCGTTGTAAAAAACATGACTATGTAAAGTTAAGTCATCCGTTTTGAAAGGAAAAGAAAACGGATTCAGCAAAAAAACATTTCGGATTCACGTTAACAGGGAAAAGAAAACGGATTCAGCAAAGGACTAAAACATTTCGGATTCACGTTAACAGGGAACACATTAAAATAAAATTTAAATGCACGAAGCTTAAAATAAAAGTCAACAAGACGCGTTTATTTTCTATACATTTATTTATTTCTCATCACATAAGTAATATATACAAACCTTATGTTCTAAGACAAAAAAAAAAAAAAACGTAAACATCAAACCCTTATGTTTCGAACGTTGGTCTTTCCGGATGCATTGTACATTTGTACTAATCCGTAGAGGTGCTTAGTTCACAAGTTGGCTCGTCCTTCTTATTTTTTCAAATCAATATGTATGATATTTTTTCTTATAACAAAAATATATAAACTTGTACGTACGTAAGTGCATGGAAACTTCATATTATACCTTTTTTTTTTTTTTGGTAAAATTATTATTTTTTATTTATTATCGGGGATTTACGTAAACCTGAATATCCCAACAAATGTTATGAAATTGTAAGTTTCGACTGAACTTTCTTGTCTATCCAAGCTTATATCTTAAGTAGACGCTAATTTAAATTTCCTCTACATCAAATGGGTAGCTAACACGTGTTGTGGACATGGATCAACTTCCAGAAGAAGTTTAATTCTCAACAGTGCTTACTCTTAGGGACTTCTCGATCTCTATATAAATGAATCTACACTGTGCATACAACACAACATCAACTCATAAATAAACTCGTATATACGTACACAAACACAAAAATACATCTACAAGAGTCGAGAGATGAGTTCCAAAGGAGAAAAATCTAGTTCTACTACGGCGGAGCGAGAGGCGAAGAAAGAACCAGCGAGTGTGATTCCCGTTAAGAGGAAGCTGGTGAAGACTATGGCCATGAAAGCCATTGTCTCTGCCATTACTCCCTCAAGTTGCAGCCGGAGCCCTGACTCTTCCGGCGAAGACGTGTGATGGTACCGGAGGGCGCGTGTACCCCACTCGGCGCTGATCGATCGGTCCTATTCTTGGGGGTGAAGATATATATGCGTCGTCGTGATATGTTCTTGTTTGATACTACTATATATGGAAGATGGTGTTCTCGTTGTCGTGTAAGCCTATCGTAACGTTTCTCCTTTTTTGTACTTAAAACAAAAAAAATTAATGTTTCTATAATTCAGTTTCGGCCCGGGTGGGGAGATTATGATGTAAAAAAAGTAACCAAGATGTGATTGTTTTTTTTTTTTTTGGTAAGACCAAGATGTGATTGTTATGATGGGTTAATGTGACTATGGTTGTATATATAATTAAAAGACCGCTCCTTTTTGTTTATCATTAATTAATAATTATCACTATTATAGTTTGTTATTAACCTTCTAATCGAAATAATGCCACTATTGATGTCTAATAATTAATTAGGATTAGAAAGGAATCAAAATTGTGAGCAGAATGAAATGCTTTTGACCAGACTTGTTCTTTGTGTGTGGAATTATGGAAGCATGTGGGCATTTGTTGTATTTTTTCGTGTGTAATATAAATCTAGCTCTTGTATATCGACATAACCATTTATATATAAGTATACACATGTGCGTCTAAATTGTTTTTTTTTTCTTATTCTGAATAGTATGAGAGTTTTTTTTATAGGGAGATTGCTAATAATTAATCACTGAAAAATCATATTTAAAAATGAAGAGAATGATATCAACTTAAAAAGAATTGGGTGAAAACAATAATTCATGCATAGTAAACAAATGTCCTCCGTTACCATAGAAATCTCCATCCTATTATTATGTTTGTTTTGCTTATCAATCAATTCTTTTGTTTGAGTTGTTAAAACAAGTTGGCAATAATAAATAGAAAAAGATGATAAAAGGCACAATGGAGTCGCTTCCAAAGAAATAAGAACGGATCACACGAGATTATTAACACCATATCACTGTCTAAGTATTGGTCCACACGCCAAAACAAAAACATCAATTATCATTTAATATAGAAAATTATATAAGTAAATACAAGTAGAAACTGGAAAGTGACAACACTCTCTCTAAAGTCTAAACTTTAGATTAGCACATCCAACAAAATTTGATATTGTATGAATACATATATATACATATCTTCTTGATGAGATTTGATCCTAAACATAGACGAACACTTCTAATTTAAGTACAATCATTGATACTAAAAACAACCAAACCAAATCATTCGTCGACATAAAACGTTCAATGTCTAAACCAACAAAAGAACTGATGAGAAGTATATATGTGATAGAATCGCAGACAATTTAATCATTGGTCGTTTTACTTAAACCTTCGTAACAATTATTATATCACGTTTGAGTTTGATTATATTATTAATTGATCATATATTCGTTTGCCTACCTTTAAATTCTTGTTGTTTGCATAGGAAATCTAACCTTAATTTCGAAGTTGGTGGCTACCTCACATTATCAATGACACACATCATTTAAATATAAATAACCATGATATGTTGTGTCGTCGTCTTAAATAATTATAAAAATCGATAATAACGTCTTCTTGGCAATGAAGTTCAATCGCATTTGCAACCTGACCCCTTTGCGCCAGTTCATTTGTTTATTCTCCAAGTCTAGTAAAGTACATTTAAATATTTCGTTAAACCAATTACATGTATATAGATTGTGATGTAAAATGATTAAACTTAGACACAAAGATTGTCTCGGTTCATCCATTTCATTAATATAATCACGGTACGGATGAAACATACAGTACTAATTATAAATAAGTATTGGTTAGCCACTTTCATTAATTTAAATGTTCACGTCTGATTACTCCTCTACAGCTGTAATTCATGGTATTGTTTGTTTGTTAGTACTTAATACTATGAATCTTCCAAAATTATTACTCCTACTTTATAAGACAAAAGCATCGCAAATATTCACAGCCATTATTATATATGGTCGTGTGAAACTAGCTAGTAATAAAAATCATAATTGTGCTTTTTGTGTAATTCAGTCTCCATCATGTTATCTAAGTTTTTCCACACAAATCTTTGACATTTTAAATACACTATACATAGATCATATCGTGAGCGAATCTCCAGAAAAAAAATAAAAATGGGCCCTTGACCGATCTTTGTATTGTTTCTAACGACCAACCATATATTTTTGTGGTGTGTGTGAATATTATTTTTAATTTTTAAAAGACAGAAAACAAAAGATAGGAAAAATAAAACATAACAAAACGTAGAAAAGAGCTAATTATCCCTGACACGATTACAGAAAATTGGATATTGTCTGGATCCATTGTTCAAAACCGAATCTAAATACATAATTATGTCTCTCTACACAATTATTGTTAACAAGTTAACATCTCCTGATCCTCCTTTGTAAATGTAGTGTAAGTGGAACAAACTATTTCTTAGGCTTTTAAAATTTAAAATAGACGATATTTTGATTATTAATATTTAACTCGTAAAAATATCATTCCTTTAGATATATATACTGATTGATCGACTAACAAGAAAAAAATATTTATGTTATGATTATTATTCTATAAATTAATAATTTAAATGTCACTTATTATTACCATATCATTAGCAAAAAAAATGATAATTAATTTTGACTCAATTGGATATATATATATAGACAATAACAAGTTATGATACTAAAACACGACTAATAATTAAATATACAAATATAGTAACATATGTGTCGAATGCTGTCTTCCGGGTGCCTTGTGCTAACGGTAGACTGGTCCTTCGTACCCAAGTTGGCGCCTACTCATCATCTGCCAAGTATACACATATATTAATTAATCAGGTTTACAACGTCGATGCATAGAAATTTCTATTTTTGTGTTTTATCTTATTTATTTTTTCTTCATGTACATTCACATAATCTCATAGATATATCCATATGTAATGAAATTAAAGGTAAGTTTCGCTTAAATTTTTCTTTCTTTCGAAACTTAAACCATAAGTAAAAGATATAAATTAAATTTCCTTTGTGTAGCAAATGGGTGACTAACACGTAGGACATGGAGCAACTTAAAGCAGAAGAAGTTCACGTAGAGGGGTGTGTTCTCTTTTCCTATATAAACCAGTCCACATTGTGCATGGCTTCACAATTATAACAGCAACAAACAAACACACACATACACAAACAAACAAACACACACAACTACATTATTAAACAGCCGCCTAAAGATGAGTTCTAAGGGAGAAGGTTCAAGCTCTACGGTGGAGAGGGAGGTGAAGAAACAAGTAGCGAGTGTGATTCCCGTCAAGAGGAAGCTGGTGAAGACTATGGCCGCGAAAGCCATTATCTCTGCCCTCACTCCCTCCGGTTGTGGCCGGAGCTCTGATTCTACCGGCGACGGTAAGGGAGGGCGCGTTTACCCCACTACTACTCACCGTTGATCGGTCCTTTCCTTGGGGTTGAAGATATATGAGCCGCCGTGATCTTTTCTGTTGTTTTTTCTTCTTCTTCTTTTTGGTTCTATGTTTCGGTTTCATATATTAGTATGCTGGTGTGTAAGCTTTTAGTAATTATGCTTGTGATATATATCCTCCTTTGTAAAAAAACAAGTTAATTATGATGTTTATGGTATTGGTCTTAAAACGGTCCTTTTGTTTAACAAATATGTAATGATCATATATATTGATAGTTTCTAATTATCAAAACCTCTTTAGGGAAAGAAAAAATAAGAAAACTTAGTTCTATCTAACATTCTAGTTCAACAATGTGCGACCGTGCGTGCTATCTCATCTCGATAATCATGATTTGCAAAATGGTTATTAATTCGGGGGTAATAATTAATATCAATCATCATAAAATTAACTGTGGGTAACGCAAAATACTTTAAGACCAAACTTGGTCTGTGTGTGTGGAATATTAAAGCATGTGCGTGTGGGCGTCTGTTGTTAATAATATACGTGAGTCGGATCATAGACTCATAGACATATGTGCGTGGGTATATTGACACGATTATTGTTTTTTTTTAACGTGTTAATAATGATTATTTTTCTTCTTGTTTTTGTTATAATAATGAATCTTTTTCATCCTTTTTAAAATCTTTTGACGAATTATATTGACAAATTTATATATGTTTATAACAATTGCGATAATTTTATTAGTTTTGGAAACTTCCATACTAACTTAAACCAAGATATATATCTTCAATATCTTGATATATATTAGGATAGATTCGAATATCTAATAGAAGAAAAAATATATAATTTATATATGGAGCAGGTTAATTTGTTTTCTACATTCGGTCTTCAGTCTTCACATTGAAGAAGAAGAAAGGCATGTGTGTCTTTTACCGCTACATATAGTGTATGTGTATATATAAAAAGAGTCATATCTATTGACTCCACAGCTGTGTTCCAAAACCATAAGAATCTTCCAAATTATATTAAAGGCTTTCTCTTCTTCTTTCACTTTTTTTTTTGGAGGAGAAAACAAAAAGATTACATTCTCTCTTAATTTAGTTGTAAAATAAAATTTATTAAGTTATAATCTTCTTTTGTTCAACGTTCACACTCGCATCTTATGGCATCTTTGACAATTTATTTGTGTCTAAACTCTTATCTAATCCCACTCTCTCAATAATTTTACACTACATAGTTACATACATTATAATACTGAAATGACATTTCGCTTAACTATGTAATGTTTTTTTTATATAAAGCACATGAATTATTTGAGCTCAGTGTAAGAAGAATATTATAGAAAAATCAAAAGCATATTTACAAAAAAAAAAAAAAAAAAAAGGAAAAAGTAAACAGATTTAGATCAACAGCCTAGTTATGATGTAAGAGGGTACGTACTCGGTTTCAACTATGTATCCAAGATATAATTGGGGGAAAAAGATTGACATTGTTTTAGATTCATTGAACGATAACGAATAAGTATAATATTTTCCACAAAGTCTCCCTCGACTACATTGATGGAGACTCTCCCCTTTACAAGTTTTAATGCATCTCTGTTTTTAGTATAATAATATTTTAGGTCAACTTGGCAAAAATTTAAAGAAGGTCAATAGTCAACGTCAACAAGAATTTGAAAATGTTGTTGTTATGAAAACTCGTGTATTGAAAATATGGTTACGAATTCGTGTAATGAATAAATAAAAATGGATTCGGTGGTGTTAAGTCATAAAAACATTTCGTGTAGTGAATAAATAAAAATGGATTCGATGGTGTTAAGTCATAAAAACATTTTGGATTGATGTTTAAATGCCAATAAAGCGAAAATCCCTAAAGAGCTGCCTAGCTTAAGAAGAAGAAAAAAAACAGATTTAGTCACATTAACAAGACTTTTTTTTTGTACTTTAATTTATTCTTTCTGTAAACAATTTTTTTTTTTTTGCTTGTTGTTTTCGAACTTCACTTATTGTTTTAATCACATATAAGCCAAGTCACGAACAAAAAATATTATAAACTTCTGTTTTAAGTTTCAAATGTTTTTTTTTTCATCACTAGTATATATGTAAAAATGAAAATATGATGGTAGAGTGAAACTTAGTCCCCAAGCTCCGGTGTCTTTCAATCACTAGTGTATATGTAAAAATGACTTGTTAGTGTCGAAGATGCATGGAACTTTCGTATTATATAAAATTTATTGTTCTAAACTACATTAGAGTGACGGGCGCTGATGAACTACGTATATCCCACCCTACATTTTTATAAATTTCCAAAATAAACGTTACGAAAATAATTAGCTGTGAGTTTCTTCACTTTTATTTTCCACTAAAACATTAATAAGTAGAAGTTGTTATTAAAAATGAGAGGCTGACACGTAGACGTACGCAGTGTGAACATCAGAGATCTTAGAAGACAAGTCTTCAGACTTATCGATAAATAGTACTAATCTCTTTCTCCATAGTCTATATATAAACTCCCAAACACTCTTCATCTCTGCAAAAATCACAAAGCAACACACACACACAAAGACATACATTCTTATAAGCTAAAGAAGATGAGTTCCAGTGAAGTGAAGCCGTTCAAGAAGAAAGAAGGGAGTGTGTTCCCAAAGGAGAGGGAGCTTGTGAAGACCAAAGCCGTCAAAGCCATTTGCTCTTTGCTCCGTCCTTCATGCGATGGCAAACAGAGCTCTGACCCATCCGGAAACGCCGACGGCAACGGCAAGCGAGTGTACCCCACTCGCCCCTGACCGGTCGTTTTCATGGTGAAGATACAAATTTGGGCCGTCAAGATCTTTAAATGGGTTCTTCTTCTCCTCTGTTTTTCTTTTCTTGTTTCTGTTGTTTATAAGCTTAATTAGGTAAAAGAGTGTGTGTGTGTGTGTGTTTTCTTTGGGGGATCTTTCTTTTTTTTTCAGTCTTCAAGAGAGGGAAGTTGATGAATTATGGATTGTTATCTTTAATCTTCTTGCTTTGTAAACAAGAAAGTAGTAGTACTATATTTGATTATGAGGTGTTTTCTGGTTAATTATGGTACTAGTCATTTAATACACACTCTGTTTTTTATTTGTTTCTTTTTTATATCTTAAAAGAAAGCATATATATGTATACTTTGTGTTTATTGTTATGATCATGTGATGTAGTGTCGAATATAAAAATACGCAAACGTGGTGTCTCGAAATTTTCAGATGTGATAATGATAGAAGAAAGAAAAAGGAAAAGAAACAAAAAAAATTTAAAATAACTAACTAACTGGATAATAGATTATCTATAAACTAAATATGAAAAATAAGGGATACTTTTGGGATTTAACATGACCTTAATTCGACTTCAAATATTAGCAATTTGCATTAGATTAAGATACGAGTTGTTGTAGGTAGGACCAAAGACTTGTGTCTTATATGTGGACTTGTGGATGTGTCGGTCGAAGCTTATGTTTTTATTATTCTTTATAAGTTTGATTGAAAATTCCAGAAAAATAATAAAGAGTTGTTATGTTTTGCATCCGACCCAAAAAAACTAAAATATAAATATATAACTACAGTAAGTATATTTCCATATATATATATAGTGTTTTGGGAACGTCTTTTTGTTAACAAAACTTCCATTATTCCGATCCATACACCAATCAAAAATTTCACATGAAGTGGTATTACAAACTTTGTACGTATGTCATGAAGTAGTTGTGCACAAAAACAAAAAAAAAGTCTTAACACATGTAAATTGGCAAAAATAACAAAAGAAACAAAGAACCTCATCACGAGCCGTTGAAAAAAATGAAGAAGAAAACAAAACACAAACCTTCGAGTTCGTGTGTCGATAACTAGGAGACATCTCAGGCCTACCATTAATCAAAGTATAAAGCTCTTTCTTTCTTTCGTCACGATTCACGAATCTCCGCTCCTGCCACAAGTCTATATTCGTCCCTCACTCTTATGGTCAAGAAAGCATATTCACCATTTCCTACTAAATATAGTTATACATATATGTACTGTAATCCTTTATTCGAAAACAAATTTCCTTAATTATAGAAATAGAAATTTAATAATATAATCAAAAACACACACGTATATATAGTAAATATATATACATATATACACAGTAGTTTTTGTTTTGAATAAAAGATTTATTTTTATGCTTAATTTTTATTTTTATATAGAGTACTGAGATTTGACATAATTAAGTAACACACGAATTAAAAGGACAAAGTATATTTGATAGTAATTATTTAACTCTTAACTGATACATCTGAAACTTACTTAAATGGATATGGGCTTCCAAAATTAATTCAACGTATATTGGGCTTTAATACCCTTCAACATTAACAGTAACCGTATAACACAACTAACGGCTTCATACTTGATCCCCGCCAACCAAATTTCGAAACTCACACCACTTTTTCTCTCTTCCACTTTTTTTTTTTGCTTCCTTAATCCTATTATTTTAATAACACGCCTTGTCACAAAAGTCCAGACACACATATCATATATACAAATATTCATCTCCATCTCCTGTTTGATATTATTACTTTTTCTTAATGCAGATCTTTTCTAAAAAATTTGAATTCAAAACTCTCTAAGAAATGGGTTGTTGCATCAGCAAGTGCTCTCCAAAGACGAAAGATTTCAAACAAGCAGATGAACCTGAAGTCAAGTACTGTTATGTTCCAGAGAAGCTGTTTATGTCGCGGTGTCCAAGCCGTGTTTCTCCACTCCTTCTTCCCGAGAAGAACCGGTTTAATCCTATCCCTCTCCCGGACAAGTTTATTCATGTCCCGGATAAACTCCCTCCTCCTCCTTCTCCTCCAGTAAAGCCGGCATGTTTCTCTCCAATCCAACCTTCAACCACAAGCAACTCTTCTCTCAGCTCATCAAGCTCGTCGCTTTCCACCGCTTCTTCAATCTCGGTCTCTAAGGAGAGATCTTTCTCCAACGATTTCTTGCGTGCTTGTTACCAAGAGAATTCTCATGTTGCTCGGATCAATTCCTTACGAGAAGCTTCTCTTTCTATGAAAACCACAAAACCGGAATATCCTAGCCGGTCTGATTCCCGGGTTATATCAAACCGTTATTCAACAACACCAAACAGAGCAAATGAGAATCCTAAAAGAGGATCCAATGGCTCTAAGAGAACACGAGAGCCATCGCCAAACCCTCGTTCATTGACACGACAAAAGAGCTTTCGTCAAGATCAAGAAAGAGTTGTTATGTCTATTTCATCGAATTCTTTAACCAAGGGTAAGCTCTTGAAATCTCCATCTCCAAGCAGGAGATATGAAGGCAATTTCTTGAAATCACCATCTCCAAGCCGAAGATTTGGTATGGCTGCGGCTGATTTGACGGTAAACTCAGTCTCTTCTCGTGTAAGGAAAGATAGTATAGATCTATATGGTGCAAAGACTACTTGTCATAAAAGCAATAGATCAGAGACTCGGATTCATCGTATTATAAGTTCTAAGATCAACGAAACAATGATCAGAGAAGTAGCAGCAAACCATAAGGAACAAGTGGTGGTTCCAATGGATGAAGAAGTTGGCAATCCTCTCATTGATTTGGATTGCTTTATCTTTCTTTAAGAAGAACCTTTTGATTTTATTTGTATGTTGAGGATGTGTTTGTGTGTGAACAGATAGGTTCTGTTACATTTCCTTTTTTGTCTCGCTTTTGTTTTGTTTTATTTATTATAGGTTTGTGATGGTCAGGTAGATCAAAACTCTCATACTACTTACTTTTTTTCTTTCTTTCAAAAAATCTACTTTTATATGTATGCATTTGAAATAGTTTGGATTGAATACAGCTACGGGAGCTTGTTATTGCAAAAGTTTTTTAATCATACTTTCAGTTTCAAGTTTCAAATATTATAAACTTTTTTAAAAAAAATTGCAGCTAAAAGTAAACATAACGACGATACGCTGCGTTTTGTAACATAATGTGTTGTTGTTTATTTAAAAGGAAACGCAGCGTTTTAATTTTTTTGAAAGTCATTCTTTTACTGGTAGCAAGAATCTATTATGATGTCTTATCCAAATCCAACCAATGAGCAAGCAGATATAAATTGCAATGCAACCAACACTATCCCACTCCTATCTTCTATTAGTGTTTAGTTACAACGATTGCTTTTAAGTTTTCTTGGATTAGCCAATGGCACATTCACTCGTTCCTCTCTCACCGGCAGCTCACGCCGTCAGACTCTCCTCTCCTTCACCGCGGTCACTGCCTCAGGCTCCTCCCGTCGTCCTTGAAGTTCCATCCGTGAATCGCAGGTGATCAAATTGATAATTGTTAGAAAAAAATTACTCAAAAGTTTATGAATGTTTATGCTTGTTTCTATATCAAAACCAAATTGTTGATCATAGAGAAGAATCGTAATCTTTGTACTGTATGCTAGATCGAATTTCTTTACTTTGTTGTTGTTGTCAATTTACTAAAAATCCAATCCGCACGGGTTTGTCTGTCTGGTCCGGGTATTATCCATAATCCAAAACCACATTGTTCAATTCATCAACCCAAAAACACTCTTCTGAAACTTCGCTTACCATTTCACAAACGTAAATATTTATTAGTATGTTTTTAATGGTTATAACTTTATATTTAGTTACACTTATTGTTATGATAAAAAAAAAATGTACTGCAAAGCTGGTCAAACCGGTTGGACCGGATCGACCTCATATCCGGTTGGACTCTCCTCGGTTTGTTCTTTTCGTATCAAAAAAAAAATCATAAACGGAATCTCTCTATATGCAGAACAATTGTGCTCGGTCTAGGCGGAGTGCTATGGAGTTGGAGCGCTCTGACGGCTAAGGAGGAGGCAAAGGCCGCAGCAAGACGGCCGCCTCCGCCACCACCCAAGGAGAAGCAAGACCCGAACGTAAGTGGAGTTCAGGCCAAGGTATTGGCTAGCAGGAAGCGCAAAGAAGAAATGAAGGCTTCCATTGCTAAACTAAGAGAGAAAGGCAAACCTGTTGTTGAAGCTGCACCAAAGTCTTCCTCTTCTTCTTCTTCTGCGGAGTAGCAACAATTTACACTCTTTCATTAATTTATCTGTCTACCAAATTCATCCCTATGATGTTAATTCACACTACTGTATTTCAATTCACACTCTTATGGTTATTTCGTACGTGGTAAATTAAATCCAAAAGCATTCTAGCTTGTCATGAAATCATCCATATCATATATAAAAAGTATTAAATATGTTAGTACGTACGTATATATATAGTTAATCGTATGAAAATTTTCAATACAAAATTTGGAAATCAGAATAAATAATAGCTGAATACATATTTAAAAGTAGACAAAAAGGATGTACTATTCACTATTTAGTGTGGTTTACGTTTGAGAATGGTTTTCATTGATCATGAGGTTGTGCCTGTTTTTGTTCGTAGTTGAGCTCTTCGTTTGAGAATGGTTTTCATGTGCCTGTTTTTGTTCGCAGTTGAGCTCTTCATCAATAGGGTAAACTAGTTGAAAGTCCAATCTTCATCTTCAAGTAATAGTTCAGCTTTCAATTCTTTTACTGCATGGTCATTTTGTTTGACTGTATCATATTTCGAAAATTTCACGGGTAATATTGTTCTTACCTAAACCCTAGTAATTTGATTATACATTTATACGGAAAAGATAAATCTGAGACTCTTATAACTACAATCCAGTTGATGTGGGTTCGGTCGACAAAAAAAAAACTAGCTATGCAAGTATGCAACCAAAATGATCATAAAAAGTTACAAAACTGAGTTGGAGTTGCGTGGCTAATTGATAAAATATATATATAGACATAAAAATTCAAGATTAATTAAATAAAATTATATTTATGACAATTTCTGTCATTATATTTTATCATCGTTGCTAATCTCCTCTAGACGCTATACTAACTTACACAAATAGATAGGTGAGATTTTTGGTTATATGAAACAATGTATCAGACAACCATTGGCTAGAAAGTCTCTTGTTTCATTAAGAAAACAAGACCGTCTCAGAAATTACAGTGCATAGCATAGTCATAGCTGTCACTGCAAGTAATCATTATATTTTCCAACTACGTACGAGGCTTAACTAGGTAAATGAACATCTCAGCTCTCAAGAATTATTTATAGATCATCCAATTCATCATATAGCCGACACTACTCCAAAATGAAGAAAATTCATATTGAAGAACAACTATAGCCTCAAATTTGTATGAGTTCACGTGTTACCAATTCACAAAAAACAAACATCATTGCTGAGCACCTTAAATTCAGAAAATTCATTCTGAAACTTGTAATAAATATCGAAGCACACTTAGTTTCAGTAGAAGAAGAGTACCTTAATTCACCAGTGCTACCCCCAAATTTCTTCACAAATTCTTCATAAACACAACAAATTTCAAGAAATCAATGTCAAACAAACCTTGATGAGCAGCTAGAGAAGCGAACCTCCGGAAATGGAGGATAAAAAACCTCAAATCGCAGAACATGAATTAAATCAAGAGATGAACGATTCACAACACAATCGGAGAAGCATGAAACGAGATCCTCTGGTAACGAATTAAAGTATGCAATTCCGATACACAACACAATATTCGTGGAAGCTTCGACGTAAGTCTCTCACAATCGACTAAGCTTTCTCACACTTGAAAAAGAAATACATGTTAATATTAATATAAAAATAGTTTTCAAAAACCATATTGAAAAAAAATTTTATTACCAAACATTAACAAAATTAGAATCGACATGTGTCAACATCCTATCGTTTATAACTATTAACTAAAACATGTCACGATCTTGTTAATGACTAACTTTGAAAACCAAATTTTATATAAGAAGATATATAAATCATAATTATAATTGGATTAAAATTAAATTTCTGAACATACATATATATAATTTAATTTGTGGATATATATACTTATACATATCATATATATATAGTGATGTATATTATCCTAGTAAAAAAAAAAGTGTTGTATATCATCTATAAATTTAAGACATAGTTATTGACTTATTATGATGATATATATGAAACAAATTATTCTTTTCCAACAATTATAAGACTTATTCATCTTAAAATATAGCAAACTTAACTCCCTTTACAAATAATTCATTAAAAGAATTGGGGTAAGTTTCAAACTATTATAACATAAATAACATTTTAATGATATGTACATATAACACTTGACACCAATGATTGTTAAACTACACATGTGTGCCAATATTATAGAATTTTCCATTCATATCAAAACAATTTTTTTTTCTAATTTGTTTTTGTTTTCAGAATTTAGATTTCAATGATGTGATATCTATCATTTAGATTTCAATGATATTTTAACAGTTGGTAAATACTTTACTTTTATTAGTTTATTTCCTTCAACTGATGATAAAGTTTATATATATTCTCTCTTTGACACCAGTAAATACAAATTTTTTTTTTTGTATAAGTAAGAGTTAGAAAAAAAAAAAAGGGGGAGAGAAAATGTTATCATATCTTCCATGCGATTTGGTCGATGTAATACTTTCTAGGGTTCCAACAAAACCTCTAATACGACTTCGATCTACTTGTAAACGTTGGAATTCTCTATTTGACGATCACATATTTTCTAAAAAACACTTTGTTAATGCCATCAAAGAAAGTGCGTTTCTCTTATTCATTAATGTGAGACTTTTTACGATAAGTTGTGAACTCCAAAGACTTGATGGTTACAACGTCAATCTTCGTGAACTTAGTCTAAGAAAATGCATTTGTAAAAATAATAACTGTAAAATATATGAAGTTCTTCACTGTGACGGTTTACTCTTAGCCCTCACACAATGTTTTGAACTTATAGTCTGGAATCCATGTTTAAAGGAAACAAAGTTGATTGAACCACACATTGACAGACTACATATTCCAACACCTGGATATGCTATTGGATGCGATAAAAAGTACGGTGATCGTAGATACAAGATCTTGTTTTTTGGGTCAAATCGGCATCGGTGCCCCACCCGTGGATTTTTCGTGAAATATTCCAAGGTTGAAATGTATGATTTTACGTCTAACTCTTGGAGAATTCTTGAAGCTAAAATCGATTTTTTTCTGAGTTTTCCTACTCGTTGGATATCCTTGAAAGGAAATTCTTATTGGGTTGGTGCAGATGAAAATACGAATGAATGTTTCATTGTGAGATTTGATTTTTCAACTGAGATGTTTGGACGCTTGTCTTTACCTTTTCTTGCGAATCTTGATAGTAGTTTTCTTCCCATGTCAGTTAAAAATGATCGGATTTCGATAATACAACAAAAGTGGAATCCATATTATGTGGAAATTTGGATGACGGGAACTGTGATAGACGGACAAGAATTGTCTTGGAGCAAACTCATGAGAGTTGAGGAAGAAACTATTGGTGTTTGGTTCCAAAATCCTTATTTTTATATCCATGATGAAGAGAAAAAAGTGGTTGTATTTTGTTATAGAGAAAGATGGAATAAAGATAGAGTTTGCATTATGGAACACCAAAAATATACAGAAGTGTACGTTGAAGAAGCCGAAGATTTTACTATTCCTATCATTTACAATTATGTTCCCACTTTGGATCATATTCGTTAATAAATTAATAACTTTTTTTTTATATGCCTATCATCTATTTTTATTTTTTGTTTGACGTCGCCTATCACCTATTAATTAAGCTAGCCATGAAAGGAGATAAAAACAAAACGAGATTATTTTTGTTCATTCCTAAGTGTTAAGGTTGATGAGAGTTTGTGACAGGAAGAAATAATATTTACTCTCATAGGAAATAGTGTTACAATAATATATACAGGAATAACGTTTAACCTAGTTTTCTAACTAAAGAGATCATATAGAATATTTACAAATCATTAATATGATTATGGAAGATATTCTAGATATTCTCTTATACTAAGTCCTAATTCTAAAAGTTGAGTAAATCATTTTAATTGCGATAACTGATTTTATCAATTAAAAACAAAATATTTCGTAAATCTGTTCATGAGTCTGTTTTTTAAATTCTTAAGCTCCTCCACTAAAAACCTAGTTTTTTTTTTCTTTATTTCTCATTTATAGTGTGTTTAGTGAGCTAGTGCTTAGGTTCTTCATGTTAGTTATACATACACGATCTTGTCTTGGTGATAAAACATAAAATACCTTAATTATGAGCTTATAAATCATAAGTTCTAGCTAGCTCACGCGCGTACGAAATATCCTGAATTCCAAATTATTAACGTTATGCAAAGGTTTTGATACATTAAAGAAACTTCCAGAAGCAACAACTGGAATGAGGTGACAAATAGAAATCATATATTAAAAACATAGTGCCATGAAAACAAGCAACCTACAACACAATGGATTAGATAGATAGACACTTGCTAGAACCTCGATTCTTTTAGCATGTCCCATTCGTAGAGAGAGTTGTGCATTCATTCGCATTACATCAATTGGGCCTTGAATAAAATCATAAAGCCCAATAAAGCCATAATAACTGATGTCAACAGATAATTAAGTAATTTGTGTGACATTTATGCTAGAACGCTAATTTATGGTGTACTTATTTTTTTTTTTTAAAGTAGAAATACTACTACGTATTTATGTTCCTTCATATCTTTTTACTACGCTAAGAGTTCATTCCAGCTCAATTGCGATGCCATATGCATATCCAACAAAGAATTTTGTTTTCTAAGATGATGAATGGTTAAATCAAGTATGAATTAGTATAATGGGAAAGCGAGTGGTTTGAAATTTGAAATCACCGCACACAGATAACCAAGGAAAAATAAAGGAGTCAAGACAAGAGGTATTGTTCGTGTCCTAACTCTTCTAACAGAATGAATAAGTAATTTTGTCAACATTACTAATTTAGTATTTTTTACATCAAAAAACGTATTATATGTAAATTACCAAAGCTAGACAAAATTTGGATAGTTTGAAGTATGAATATTGTTCCACTAAAGAACCTTTCTTGTATCCTTTTCAGTTGCTCATAAATATTAATTTCTTTATGTAATACATGCATGTGGTGATCATTCAAAAAAAATTCAACGTACGAATTATAAAAATAACCAAAAGTTATATATTTTGTTTTTTCCTGAATGATTCGAGTACTAAGAGTCAGTAAAGATGATACAAGTGGATGATGAGTTTGTGATCGATCATTCTCTTTTTTTGTTTTTCAAACTTGCCTTTTTAGGAAATCTGAGTAGTAGATGCATGTAAGTAACCCCATTTCTTCAGAATTTGGATTACCTTTGCCTATATAAAGAGAGCACATTTCTAACATGAAAATTACACAAAAACAAGAATTCGAAGAAGATTTACAAAACAGATAATTAGAAAGAAATTAAAATGTCTTCAACTTCTTCCACTTCTTCCACACCTCCCCTCTCGGCAACCGAAAACATGCTGGTAATTGTCTTCTTCTTCTCATGTATAAGAATATAAGAGCTTAATGATGTGAATTTCATATCATTATTCATTGATCGCAGGTTGCTCTAGAGAAACGCTCTGATGGAGCTAAAGATATTAACAATATCATCAGGAGTTTCGGTGTAGAATTTGGGTTTGCCAAATCAAGCGCGAAACATTCGGACACGAAAAAGATGGTGAAAGACGTTATTGACGATGAGTATATACCGAACAGGCTCCGCGATTTGAAGATCGAGCAAATGGCTAAGGCGCTGAAAAAGATCACTGAAGAAAACAACAACACGGCGGCGATCGTCAAAACGTCTTGGTCCAATGAAGACGGTGAAGCCAAGAGTTACCAGTACATTGAGGTCACGCACGGGGAGACCCATGAACGCTTCGTCTGCGACATAGATTTCTCCGACGAGCTTTCAGAAACGATTGGCTTAACTTCATACCTTGCGGAGGACGTACCCCAAACTTTCGTCGGCACCGAAGAAGATCTCCGCCGCGTCGTAGCTGCCATATCCGAGGAAGAAGACGACGAGGAATTAACGGGCCGTTTAGTCAAATGGCTAGGCCCGCGGGCATAAGCCCAATGGGCTTGCTTTCACTTGGTCATTTCCTTCACGAAAAAACTCAGAATACATAAATACGCTTTCTTTCACGTCGTCGTCGTTTCATTATGTACATATAAAAAATAGGACGACTTATTATTTATGATTAAAAGATGTGTGCATAAATAAAATTAAATATAAAGAAAAATTCGTTTTATTAATCTCTCTGTTTCGTAATTAGCTTGAGCCTTGCTTTTTAGTTTTTCGCCCCACTGGGAACAAATTTTATGCCGAAACCAACATAATCGTAATCAGAGCACATGAACAGTACCAATGTATTAATTTATGGCAAACCGCAAACGTAACATGAAAGATCAAAATGCCATAACTTTTAGAACCACTAAACAACCCTATTGTATATTCGCCCAAGTAGTCCAGCTAATTTTTCGATTTAATCCAACGTACTCACTTTTAATTAGCTAGCGAGGAAATTAATTAAATAAATACAAAATATAAAAATACAATGGATGAGACTATGAGTCATGAACGCATCGCAACAGCTGAAACCATCATCATGCATGCATATTAATTGCCATTGTATTTGTTGTATAGCGCGCGTTGAAAATATAGTATTAACGGAAACCACTTTTTTGTCAAAAGTAGAATTATTTTTCTGATTTGTATCAACATTAACTTAAGTTACTTAACACACACGGCTCCTGGTTAATCTTAGGAGAGTGTGATGCACTGATAGTGACATAAAACAGCAAAAGCTCCTACGTACCCAAAAATGGATAAGCGCGTGGCCTTGTTGACTTATGTTTTTTGTTTTATTTGATAAAGGTTTTGCAAACATATACTCAATTAATGAGCTTTTTCTGTAATAGGCGGCCCATATCAAAACGGATTTGGGTTTAGAGTTTTTCTAAACCAGTTAATGTTGACTTATGTTGTAAGTAATAACTAAGTTAAAGGCCTATATTGAACTCATATTTGGGAAAGGACTTCATTAACACAAAATAAAGATATAGAACTCATAAAAATTGAAGATATCCAACACCTTATTATATATTTACATATATACTATATAGCTGGATTAGAATTAAATTTCTGGATATTCATATTTATATATATAATTAAATTGATGGATATATACATATCATATATAGTTTTGTATATTATCTATAAATTTAAGACATACTTATTGTGGAAATATAGGGTTATTTAAATGATAAATATCACATCATTGAATTATTTCTCTATATATATTAGCAAACTTTACTCCTTTTCAAATAATTCTAAAAAAATAATTGGGTTAAGTTTCCTGCTAAACTAATGGTAAGAGTATAATGAGGTAATTAAATAACCACGCGTCAAAACTATTATAACATAAACAACATTTTTAATGATATGTACATATAACACTTGACACCAATGATTGATAAACTATACATGTGTGCCAATATTATAGAATTTTCCATTCCTATCAAAACAGTTTTTCTTTTCTAATTTGTTTTTGTTTTCAGCATTTAGATTTCAATGATATTTTAACAGTTGGTAAATACTTTACTTTTATTAGTTTATTTCCATCAACTGATGATAAAATTTATATATATTCTCTCTTTGACACCAGTAAATACATATTATATATTTTTTGTATAAGTAAGAGTTAGAAAAAAATGGGAGAGAAAATGTTATCATATCTACCATGCGATTTGGTCGATGAAATACTTTCTAGGATTCCAACAAAATCTCTAATACGACTTCGATCTACTTGCAAACGGTGGAATTCTCTATTTGACGATCACATATTTTCTAAAAAACACTTTGTTAGTGCCATCAAAGAAAGTATGTTTCTCTTATTCATTAATGTGAGACTTTTTACGATTAGTTGTGAACTCCAAAGACTTGATGGTTACAACGTCAATCTTCGTAAACTTAGTCTAAGAAAATGCATTTGTAAAAATAAAAATTGTAAAATATATGAAGTTCTTCATTGTGACGGTTTACTCTTAGCCCTCACACAATGTTTTGAACTTATAGTGTGGAATCCATGTTTAAAGGAAACAAAGTTGATTGAACCACACATTGACAGACTACATATTCCAACACCTGGATATGCTATTGGATGCGATAAAAAATACGGTGATCGTAGATACAAGATCTTGTTTTTTGGGTCAAACCGGCATCGGTGCCCTACCCGTGAATTTTTCGTGAAATATTCCAAGGTTGAAATGTATGATTTTACGTCTAACTGATCTTGGAGAATTCTTGAAGCTAAAATCGATTTTTTTCTGAGTTTTCCTACTCATTGGATATCCTTGAAAGGAAATTCTTATTGGGTTGGTGCAGATGAAAATACGAATGAATGTTTCATTGTGAGATTTGATTTTTCAACTGAGATGTTTGGACGCTTGTCTTTGCCTTTTTTGGCCAATCTTTATAGTAGTTGTCTTTCTATGTCAGTTAAAAATGATCGGATTTCGATATTACAACAAAAGTGGAATCCATATTATGTGGAAATTTGGATGACAGGAACTGTGATAGACGGACAAGAACTGTCTTGGAGCAAACTCATGAGAGTTGAGGAAGAAACTATTGTTCTTCGGTTCCGAAATCCTTATTTTTATATCCATGATGAAGAGAAGAAAGTGGTTGTATTTTGTTATAGAGAAAGATGGAAAAAAGAGAGAGTTTGCATTATGGAGGACCAAAAATATACAGAAGTGTACGTTGAAGAAGTCGAAGATATTATTAGTCCTATCATTTATAATTATGTTCCCACTTTGGATCATATTCGCTAATTACTTAATAAGTTTTTTTTTAATATGCCTATTATCTATTAATTAAGCAAGAAATTATATATCATTATGTGAATTAGCTTAGTTTAGCTAAAACCACCGTGTTCCCTCTCTTTCTCTTCATAATTATCTATTAAAACACACCAAAAAAAACTGCTTCTTGCTTTGGGGATTTCCCGGTGGCACCAATTGAAATTCTCGACGAGAATAAGTTATTGCTTCAAGATAGTGGTTACTTGGTGATGCATGATCTCCATGCCAAATCTTATGATTCACTATGTCAACCTAAAAACGTTCAATATCCTGTTTCTTATTATCAAAGTTTATTTTCTGTTTCATCAAATTAGTTAACTTTGTTTTATTTAGCTTTCCACCAATGTGAATTTTCAGCATTTTAATTTATATCAATGGTTTTCTTTGGCTTCTTGTTGTCATATTCAGTTTTCTTTGGCTTCTAGTTGTCATATTCAGCGTTCAAAGAAGAAACAAGTCGAAGAGAGCTCACTGATACTGGAGTATGTGTAAATTCATTCAAGGAATCGCAAAGAGGCAAAAATTTGTTTCAAAGAAGAATGGTGTCTCAATATCAGAGCCTGTGAATGATTTAACACAAACTGTGATACATGGTCGGTTCACAGGCTCTGTAACTTGTATGAAAAACACACACACTGTCAATGTGTGAATTGTGATCGCTATACCAAACGCCCTGATCATATGTAAATTGGGCCGAGCCCATAAAAGGCCTTTTCATAATTTTTGTTTATTTTTGTTTACAAACCACTGCCGTTTCATTAACACTAAATGTTATAATCTCAGTCGTTTTTGCAAGATCTAAAAGCCGAACAAAAAAGAAAAATGCTGTAAACATTTAAAGAAGCAAACGAAGAAACAGTGATTGAGAGATGGCGAGCTTAACTAGTAAGCCCAGAAACTTTGGTGCGTACAGTCACTACGCCACTCCCTGCACACGTACGCATCAGATCGGAGCTCTGTTTCTCGTCGTCTCTACCTTCTTCGTCACCAGGCTTTTCGATCAGTGGTTCTCGGAATCCAATTCCGTTACTCCGGCGATTGATCTCCGTCTTACTTCATCTAATGCCGGAATCACGACTGAGAACGGGATCCTACGTTGGCCGGAGCGAGGCTATGGTTCCCACCTCTCGCTGAAGATCTACGTTTATGATGAGAATGAGATCGACGGTCTCAAAGAGCTGTTATACGGTAGGGATGAGAGTGTTAAGACCACCGCATGCTTGAAAGGCCAATGGGGATCTCAGGTGATTCATCTTCTTTCGAATCTCTCTGTTTCTGGTGTGAGATTAACTTAATTTCACTTTTTTGTATTTACGGATTCAATCTGGAAATTTCTGGATATTAAGTAATGTAGTAAGTGTGGGCTACTTGATCGTATCTGCTGGTTTTGTTGTTTGAGGAAACGATTCTTATGATTTTGTTCTGCTTATGAATACAATTATGATAGGTGAAAATTCACAAGTTGCTTTTGGAGTCCAAATTTAGGACGATTAAGAAACATGAAGCGGATTTGTTCTTTGTGCCAGCTTATGTGAAATGTGTGAGAATGTTGGGAGGTCTTAATGATAAGGAGATCAATCAGACCTATGTCAAGGTTAACGAAATCGTCATTCAGCTGTTTCAAATTGTAGATGAGGATGTTTTATTTATTTATTTCGAACTAGAATGATACGTCAGGTTGACATGTTCTCTCGTTCACTAGGTCTTGAGTCAAATGCCGTATTTTCGAAGATCTGGTGGTCGCGATCATATATTTGTTTTTCCAAGGTAGACTATTTGTTTTTGTTACATATGTGGAACTTGAGCAATTAATAAAGCTGTTTTAGTGAACTGTATTGCTTTGTGCAATCTTTGACATTAGTTTTCTTTGTTATGGTAATGTAGTGGTGCTGGAGCTCACTTGTTTAGATCCTGGTCAACATTTATCAACCGCTCGATTATCCTCACTCCCGAGGTACTTAGCTTGCCCTATGCTGATGAGTTTTTGTAATTTGAAGTATATTTGGCAGTGAATGGCTGAATGTGAAAGTAATTGGTCCATATCCGTCCCTTCTGACTTCCAAAATTGGCATTGGAATTTTTGATCAGTCTCTGCTTATAAAATTATATAATTGAAATCATTGAGCTAGCTTCTTAGAGCTTCAATGTTTGTTAATGCAGGCTGACCGGACTGACAAGAAAGACACAACTGCCTTTAATACATGGAAAGATATAATCATACCTGGAAACGTGGACGATGCTATGACCAAAAATGGACAACCTGATGTTCGGCCTTTGCCTGTATCAAAAAGGAAGTATTTAGCAA